AGCTACAAGCACTCTACCCTCTGAGCTACAAGCATTCTACCCACTCAGCCACCAGCACTCTGCCCAGTGAACCACAAGCACTCTACCCACTGAGCTCCCAGAACTCACTCTACCTACTCGGTTACAAGCATGCTACCCATTGAGCTACACTCTACCAACTGAGCTACAAGCACTCTATCCACTGATCTGCAGCCCCACCCCTTTCAGAGGGTGGAGATAAAGTTTTGCAGGAAGTGATGGAAGCACTTCCAGGGAAGGGACTGCTGCAGCTGGGCTTTGAGGGATGTGTAGGTGGTATGTCTCCTGGGAGGACAGGACTTCTGAGGTGGGGAGAGCCTCATGGTTCTGCAGCTGAGACCCAGAGCCCAGCTCAGAGACCCCTCCCCCAAGAGGGAAGCTACCACCGCCAGCAAAGCGAAGGATGTAGTTGTGCCCTCCCTTCTTCCAGGGAGGCCACCGAGGGGCCCACTCAGGAAACTCTGGCCATCTACCCTGGCGTTGGATGATCTGCGGATCCCTTAACTTTCTAGAAAAGCAAGAAGCGGGCGATGCAGGCGCCCTGTGTACAAATACAGGGGTCCAAATATTAAGATCTTCACCCTGACGTCGAGCGTATCCCCCAACTGGTTCCCCCTCAGTAGACTACCCCGCCTTTCGCTGGGGTGCGGACGGCTGTCCTCTGCTGGACGCAACAGGAACTGCAAGACAATAGGGCTCAACTGGTGGCAGGCCCCCCCAAAAGATCAAGTAGCCTGGCTGATGGGAGGGGGGCTGTGGGGTGCACCCCTCGGTCCCAGCACCGGGATAACACAGGGAGAACCCTCCCCCAGCGTCTGCCTGCCTGAGTTTCATCTCCAGAACACACGTTAAAAATAAAATGGCAGGGCATGACACTGCATGCCTTTAATCCCAGCGCTCTGGTGGCAGAAGCAGGCAGATCTCTGTGAGTTTGAGACCAGCCTGGTCTACATAGTGAGTTCCAGGCCAGCTAGAGCTACAGGGAGACCCTGTAAGACAAAAAACAAAAACAAAAAAGTGGGGACTGGCAAGATGGCCCAGTGGATAGTGGTGTTTGCTGCCAATCAGTTCGTTCCCTAGGACCCACATGCCCACATGGTGGAAAGAGAGCTACACACTAACCTAGCCCCAGAAAGCCAGCTGTCACAGCACCCAGAAGTGGTGACCAGGGTCTGTGTGGAGCAGTTCTCTGCATACTGGACACTTGATGATAGGACTCTGGCTGCATCAGCCCACACTGACCATGTAGGAGGTTCCAACCCAGGGTGGGGCTCCTGATGTGGCTGATAAGAAGTGGGGGGATCAGTGGTGGATAGTGCAAGTGGAGAAGGAAGCAGGAGAGGGGTTTGGGAGGGCAGCATAGGAGAGGCTGTGTGAAGACGGGAAGGCCAGGGAAGGTGGGCAACGGGTAGCTGCATGATAGGAAAATGGGGGATGGTGAAGGGGATGGGATGGTGGAACTGAGGGAGACCGCACTTGCAGGCCACAGTGGAGAGCTGATGCAGGTGGTGAAGAAGGAGGAGATGGAGAATAATATGGAGGAGGAAGAGATGGAGGAGAAGGAGATGGAGGAGGAGGTGTTGAGGTGGAAGTGATGGAAAGTGATGTTAGAGATGGTGCTCGTCCCTGTGGAAGAGCCAGTGGCTGCAGAGAGACTGGCCCAGTGTGGGTCTGAGCCTCCTGCTCTTACTTCCCCCTGCCCAGCTCCACTGACTCCGAGCCTTAGTTTCTACCACAATGAAATGGCTCAAGTCTGGGGCTCTGGGTTGGCTCAGGGACCATGGTGGCTCTGGGGACAGCTGCTCAGGGGCTTTACACCCCCATCTCTTGGGCCATGGGGGATGGGCCAATGGGAGAAGGGGCCCGCAGTAAACAGCAGTTCAGCCTGGAGCAGGATCGATGTGCTGTGAACAGCTGTAATTAGATTGAACATAGAGAAGGGGGGTTGAGTGGCCTCTTTCTACTGCCATCCACAAAAAAGGACATTTTTCATGACTCTTTGACACCTGCCCCCTCCCCCAGCCTTTGCCTGGGGGTCTCCATTAGAGACCCCCCCCCCAAGCTCTTCCTCACATCCCAGGCCTGGACCTATCAACTGGTTGCCCCTGGCATCCGGGATGTTCCTAGGCCCGTGCTCACCTCTCTGGGTAAATTAAAACAGGATCCATAGAGAGCCCTTCACATAAATCCTTGGGTATTATAAAAATTTGCATTTCTCTCCCTGCCCAATGAATTGGGAATAAATTGGTAGTTGGGTGATTGAGTGAATTAACGAATGAATGAAGTGTCCAGCGGATGGATGAGAAGGGTCGATACTGGAATTTATATTTTTTATTTTATTTTTTGGAGTCAGAGTTTCCCTGAAGTCCCAGCTGGCCTGGAACTCACTATGTGGACCAGGCTGGACTCGCTGTCACAGAGATCCACTTGCCTCTGCCTCCTGAGTGCTGGGATTAAAGGTGTCTACCACCATTCCTGGCCCTTTGTTTTTATTTTATGTGTATGAGTGTTTTGCCTACATGTACGTAAGTGCACCATGTGTGTGCAATGCCTGCAGTGGCCAGAAGAGAGCGTTGGATCCCCTGGAACTGGAGTTACTAATGGTGGTTAGCTACCATGTAGGTGCTGGGAACTGAACCTGGGTCCTCTGGAAGAGCAGCCAGTGCTCTTAACCATTGAGCCATCTCTCCAGCCCTACACTTTCTCCATTCTTACACAGTCCAGGGTCCCATCCCAGGGATTGGTGCCACTCACAATGGGCAGCTCTCCCCACCTCAATTGCCACAGTCAAAATGATTCCTCTTAGAAACACTGAGAGGCTGGTGATTCTAACTCCCAGGTGAGCCTAACTTCTGTCAACTTGACAATTATTTTAATCATCACAGATAAATTTTTTTTCTTTTAAATTTTTATTTATTTATTATTAATTATTGTGTTTGTGATGTGTGTGTGTATATGAGCATGCTATGATGCACATATGGAGGTCAGAAGGCAACTTTGTGAAGTCTGTTCTCTCCTTCCACCTTTACACACGTGCCAGAGATCAAACTCATGACTCCAGGCTTGGGTGGCAAGTGTTTTGACCTCAGGAGCCATCTCACTGGCCTTCTGTCATTAGCTAACTGTCTCTGATTTCTTATTGCATCTGGACTAGACAACGAAACTGCTATCTTCTTCCTCCAACTTGTAGGCTTCTACCTCCAGCCAAACCCCTAGGCCCTCACTGGAGGATTCTAGGCCAGCACTTACTGAGCTACATACCAGTCTCTAGGCTCTTAAAATGTCCCCATTGTCTTTGTCGCCTTTAATAGCACTCTGTTTTTGTTTCATAGATAGAATACATTTCTAGGATCTCTCTCTCTCTCTCCCTCTCTCTCTCTCTCTTTCTCTCCCTCCCACCTTCCCTGCCCCCCCTTTCCCTTCCCTTCTAACAGGTCTAATAATATCTAATATTAATCCACCTTATTTAGTCATAAAACTTGAAAACCAGGGCTGGAGAGATGGCTCAGCAGTTAAGAACACTGGTTGTTCTTGCAGAATACCAAGGTTCTAATCCTAGCACCCACATGCAGCTTCTGTTTGTGGCTACCCTGACTGCCCAACTGTCCACTTCACATTAACATGTCTCTATAGTTTTTCTTTTCTTTTTCCTTTCATGTCTCTGATATTTACACCAGGTACCCCTCTGTTCCCTGATTGACTCCTTGTCCCCTGACTCTGCCCAAACCCTACCCTGCCCAACCCTGCCCCCCCTCCCCTGTGCTTTGTTTCCCCATCTTGGTCCCCTCCTCCATGTGTCACCTTATCATTCATCCCCCATCTCCCATCCCTTATCCCTCATCCCCATCCCTTCATTCCCCATCCCCATTCCTTCATCCCCCATCCTTCATCACTCATCCTTCATCCCCCATCTTTCATCCCTCATCCCCATCCCTTCATCCCCCATACTTCATCCTTCATCCCCCATCCATATCCCTTCATCCCCCATCCCTCATCCTTCATCCTTCATCCTTCATCTCTCATCCCCATCTCTTCATCCCCCATCCCTCATCACTCATCCTTCATCCCCCATCCTTCATCCCTCATCCCCATCCCTTCATTCCCCATCCCCATTCCTTCATCCCCCATCCTTCATCACTCATCCTTCATCCATCATCCTTCATCTTTCATCCCTCATCCCCATCCCTTCTTTATCCCCCATCCATATCCCTTCGTCCCCCGCCCCTCATCCCCCATCCCTCATCCTTCATCCCTCATCCTTCATTTCTCATCCCCATCTCTTCATCCCCTATCCCTCATTCCCCATCCTTCATCCCTCATCCCTTCATCCTTTCATCCCTCATCCCCATCCCTTACCCCATCCCTTCATCCTTCATCCTTAATCCCTCATCCCTCCACCCCATCCCTTCATTGCTCATCCCTCATCCCTCATCCTTCATCTTTCATCCTTCATCCCCATCCCTTCATCCCCATCCCTATCCCTTCATCCCCCATCTTTCATCCCTCATCCCCATCCCTTCTTCATCCCCCATCCATATCCCTTCATTCCCCACCCCTCATCCCTCATCCCTCATCCTTCAGCCCTCATCCTTCATTTCTCATCCTCATCTCTTCATCCCCTATCCCTCATTCCCCATCCTTCATCCCTCATCCCTCCACCCCATCCCTTCATTGCTCATCCCTCATCCCCTCAATTCCTCATTATCCTTCATCCCAGTGTCCCTCCTGTGTCCTTCCCGTGTCCCTCCATGTGTCCCTCCCCTGTTCTCCACATTTCCCTCCCATGTCCTGTGTCCCTTTCATGTCCCCATGTATGTCTCCTGTGTCCCTCCCATGTCCCTCCTGTGTCCCCTTTCATGTCCTTCTGTGTCCCTCACATGTCTCTTCTGTGCCCCTCCATGTCCCTCTCCCATCCCCTTCCATATCCCCCCACATGCCCCTCCCATGTCCTTCACATATCCCGGTGTCCTGCCCCACCACAGCATGCAAGCGTAAGGAGCAGGAACAGCAGAAGGAGAGAGCTCTGCAGCCCAAGAAGCAGCGCCTGGTGTTCACCGACTTGCAGCGCCGCACCCTCATTGCCATCTTCAAGGAGAACAAGCGTCCGTCCAAGGAGATGCAGGCCACCATCTCGCAGCAGCTGGGGCTGGAGCTCAACACGGTCAGCAACTTCTTCATGAATGCGCGGCGCCGCTGCATGAACCGCTGGGCCGAGGAGCCTGGAGCCACCACAGGAACTGCGACAGCCACTGCCACCTTCTCCAAAGCCTGAGTCCCCAGCCCTGAGCCCAGGGGACCGCACATCCCAGCCCCGGCGGCCGAGGGACCATCCCCACCCCAGCCAAACCAGGCCCCACCCCACAGGGGCCAGGGATCCCCAGACCCCTCAATTCAGGACACCCAGGGGACCTCGAGGGAAAAGCACATCATACAAACAAAAACCGGGTATTTTAGAAAAAAAGAATTTTAAAAACAATGAACCCTCTTTTACCAGATCCCAGATCTCCCCCCAAGAAAGGGGGAGGCAGACACCTGCCCATCTTACCCCCACTCTCCCCTCTGTGCCCTTGTTCCCTCCTCAAGAACTGAGACCCTTCCCAAGTAAAAGCCACAGCAAACTGGATCCTTCCAGGGTCCTGGTCCCCCAACCTGTCCTCCAAACCCACTCCCCTGGCAGGAGCCCCCAGCTGCCACCCCCCACTCCAGGGGCCTAGATAGCATGTGCCAACATTCCCTGCCTTAAGGCCAGGACGGGGCCTGAGGGTACCCCTGTCCCCAAGGAGGCAGTGGCAGCTGCCAACATGGAGGCCTCCCCCAGACGCCTCCTTCTCAGTGCCCCTGGCTGAGTTCACTATAGGCACCTTGATACATGGAGACTGCCACACAGGGATGACCACCCAGGAAATGGAAGACAACACTCTGCATCCCAGGAGTGGGGGTGTCACAGTCTCCCAGACCTAGGGGGGACCCACATATGCACCACCAGCATCCCTTAGATGCAGAGCTCTGGAACTCTCTGGTATTCACCATCTGTTTGTCAGTTGACTTGGGGTGCAGACCTGAAGGCCCCCAAATAGAGAACATTTAGGGGTAAACCTTGTGTTGGTGACACCTCTCTCAAAAGACAGAGAGATGCTAAGTTGGAAACTGCTTGATCCATTGTTTTGCCAAAAAAAAAAAAAAATGTACAAAGGGGCAGAGGGTCAGATACAAGGAGGGTGCCCTACCACGACTCTCCTGGCAGCCTGAGGCAGGAGGCTGCCCTTCTCCTCCCCCTCTGGAGTTCAAGATCCTGAGAAACCCTCTCTCCTGAGCCCCTAAACCCCCCCGTGGCTGCCTCCCAGGGAGGGATTCCCCCACTTTCCCTAGAGAATGCAAAAGGACTTTCTGGTGAAAAAAAAAAAAAAAAAAGGTAAAAAAAAAAAAAAAAAAAAAGAAAGAAAAACCGACCCACATCCCCCACATCCCTGTAAAGGCTACCTCACTCAAAGTTCACTCTGTGATTCGAAAAATCACGTCTGATACCAAAGATTCCCCCACCCCCAAGGGTTTGTGCTGGAAGCCAGGGTGTCCCCTACCCGCACCCCCCACAGCTGCCCCCCAACCGAGAGAGAGAGAGAGAGAGAGAAAGAGAGAGAGAAAGAAAGAGGAGACAGGAGGACAGCGAGGTCGGTGAGTGCCTTCATATTGAACCAAAGATGTATGTAGAGTGTCCTCTGTCATTGGCTCGCTGCTCTCCCAGCGCAAGCAACTTGGATGGATGCTCCTAGAACCTTCCGGAACCTTCGGGTGTGAGACAGAATACTTAGAGAGAAATGAGTCCTGTGCCTCCTCCCATCCATTCTCAATCAGCAAACCCTCTACACACACACACACACACACACACACACACGCACACATGCACACAAAACACACACAGAGCAACTGGAGAGCTGGCTCAGCTGTTAAGAGCACTGGCTGCTCTTGAACAGGACCTGGGTTCAGTTCCCAGCACCCACATGGTGGCTAACAACCATCTGTAACTCCGGTTCTAGGGGACCTGATGCTCTCTTCTGGCCTCTGTGGTAATGGGCACAGGAGGCACACATACTCTAAGACACACACTCACACACATAATTAAAAATAAATGCTTTAGAACACACACACATGTGTCAGCTCCCATTTCTGGGAGATTCATTCTTGGGGATTCAGACTCCCTCTTTCCATCCTTACTAGCACCTGGGTGCCCCCTTTTCTCTCCCATTTCCCATATTTCTGATTTGTGGCTCCAGAGCAATCCTGCCCAGTAGGTCAGGTTGGCATGTCCTATGATCCAACAGACCCACAAAATGAGCAAGGAAAAAAAAAAAAAGAACACTGAGTTCAAAGACAACTTTAAAAATTCGTATAAATATTGGAGACTGCTTCCAGGCTAGCCTTGAACTTGAGATCCTCCTGCCTCATCCTCCTGAGGGCTGGGACCACACGTGTGCCGTCGGTTTCCTCACCCTTTCTGTCTTTTTCTTCCCTCCTTTCCTTCGCTTTTGGTTTCTGGTAATGGGGGTGGAGCCAGGCTCTGGAATATGCTAACAAAGTATTCATTGCTGAACTACGCCCCCAAAGCTTCTCCTCTCCTCGGGGGATTCTAGGCTGTCACTCTGTCCCCTGCCACAACCCCACTGCCAATCAAGTCTTTCAAATACCATCACACACACACAAACACACACACACACACACACACACACACACACACCACACTGGAACAGGCCCCCCTCTAAACCTAGGTGCACCTCCATCCTTCTCCTCCACCCCATACCCTTCTAGCCCTAACCTACCAAAGATCTTTCCCACACAGGGAACCCAAGGTCCAGCACAATTCCTTCTAGCCTTTGACAATTCTCTCTGAAATACCTCAAAATATTTAATGTATAGTTTATGTGATTAAAAAACAAACAACAACAACAACAACAAAAAAACCTTAGCTAGTTTTGGGAATATGTGACTCGAAGCTTTATACCGTTAAATTATAATTTTACAGACAGCGGCATGTTGGTCTCTGACCTCTTCCGTGGGAGATGCATGGCTGCAAAGCGGGTGGTCCCCGAGGGCGAGAGGCTGGAGGGGACCAGCGGCCTCCACGGGTTTCTAATGTACGAGAGTCTTTTAGAAAAGAGACAAGGACACGCATGCCAGACGGCTGTAGGCTGTATCTTTCCGTGGCTTGTTTTGTTTTGTTTTTTGGAGTTGTGTCTTCTAAGACTATTTATGATTCTGTGTTCTGTGTTCAAATGTAATTTAAAAGAAAAAAAAAGGAAGAAAAGAAAAAAAAAAAAAAGAGGTGATGGAATTCGCTTCACTGTGTGCCCACGGGGGTCTGATGATGTAATGGGGGGTCACATCCATCCTTTGTATCCCGTGCTTCTCCAGTTGACCCTGCCCTGTGTTTCTCTGTGCCCCTGTAATTCTGCCCCCACCCCAACTCTATCTATTGAACTGTGTCCAGCAGGCAACAAGGTCTCCTGGAGCAAGCTGGACCTGAACCCCCTTCGCTTTTTGCCTCTCTTGACCCCCACCATCTCTCTGCCCCAGTCTGTTGGAGGACACCCCTCAATGGATCTTGGATACATATGCGTGACTCTCATGTACCACTATAGACCACTGTCCTGTCTTCACCTGGGTGGGTTACACTTTAGCATAAATTTCTCAAGTGTTTTTTCACAATCGACAATCAGGCAATTTAGAGGTGGAGGTGGACTATGGTATACTCCAACTTCCACAAGCCCCAAGAACCTTTCTAAGGCCTCCTCATCTTCATGGGGACACTCTCAGCCTCCTCAGCCCTGGGATGGTTCCTCCCTCCTAGCCACATGGAGACCCTGAAGGACAAAGTGAGCTCTGTGACCCCTGGAAATGGAAAAGTGGGGGACAGGTGAGCTTGAGATTCGTTGTGCTTATCCCCAACCTGGGAGGTCCCAAGGATTTCGGGTGACATCTGGCTTTTCACGGCAAGTACCACACAGCAGAAGCAAGGTGGACAAAGGGTTAGAAAGTTACCCCATCTTCAGGGTTCCACCTAGGGTGCTGTGGGGGTGTCCCTCAACATTTTACCTTCTTGTCCTAAAGTCACCAGACTGAGGGCCCCTCCTGGCGGCCAGTCAAGAGCCCCTGGGGACTGGTGGTAGTGGGTTTTCTCAGTACCTGATCTCTGGGGAGATCAGGTGAGAGAGAGAGACCCAGTGAAGATCACAAAGTGGGGACCCATTCAGATCAATCAGAGGCCCATGATCCCTAAGGGAAGACAGGGGAACACCCTCCACACCCTCACACTAAGGTGCTAGGCTTAAAAGTAAAAAGAAAAAAAAATCATCTCCACTGTTAACCACTGTTGTGCTGGGTTTATTGTTTCTGGTTGCTTTGGTTTTCTTTTTTGGGTTTGTTTTTTTTTCTTCAATAAATTATCTTCTGGTCACTCAGCTAAATGTGTGTGTTGGCCAGCTGGGGATGGGAATGGGAGGGGAAGAACAGGCCTCTCCCACTCAGAAGATAGCCAAGGGGATGAGGGAAAGGGGCCTCCTTTCCTCACTCCTCCTTCTGCCCTGGCACTGGCCCCCAACCCACCTTCCACAGGAAGCAAGCCAAACAGATCCTGAGATGCAGGGCCCGTGTTCATACCTGCTCTGTAGACCAAGGCAGCCACAGCTTCACCCAAGAGGGGAGCCTGGCAAGGGGCCAAATTTCAGAGAGAAGCTGCTTTCCAGCTCCTGCTCAAAAACCATGAAGATTTATGCACCTGGATTTTTTTTTTAATGAAAAAAAAGGGGTGGTGAGGGGAGGCTGGAGAGCCAGCTCAGTAGTTAGGAGCACTGGGTGCTCTTGCAGAGGGCCTGGGTTCAGTTCCCAGCACCCACATGACAGCTAACAACCATCTGTAACTCTAGCTCCAGGGGATTCAATGTCCTCTTCCGGTGTCTGCAGGCAAGGCACATATGTGGTGTACTTGCATACACGCAGGTAATATACACTCATACACAGAGAATGTAAATAAATTACTTTTTTTTTTCTTTTTGGTCTTTTTAAGACAGGGTCTCCCTGTAGCCCCAACTGGCCTGAAACTCGCTATGTAGACCAGGCCTTGATTTCACAGATAACTGCCTGCCTCTGCTTCCCATATGCTGGGATTAAAGACATGCACCACCACACCAGGCCCATTTTTAAATATTTATTTATAGCCAAGGGTAGTGGTGCACATCTTAATCCCAGCACATGGGAGGCAGAAGCAGATGGTTAACTGGAAGATCAAGGTCGGTCTGGTCTACATAGTGAGTTCCAGGCCAGCTGGGATCACAGGGAGACCCTGTTTCAAAACACAGCAAACAAAACAACAGCATAAAAAGGGTCAAGCATGGTACCACACACCTTTAATCACAGCACTTGGGAGGCAAAGGCAGGTGCATCTCTGAGAATTCGAGGCCAGCAGGGGCTGCATAGTGAGACCCTGTCTCAAGAAACAAAATTATAAAAATTAAAACATTTCCTGCAATTACTGCACTTGACTACTAGGGGTCAGTGCTCTCTTTTTTAACTCAGGAAGGACTATTCCCTGGCTTCCACCTAAAAGAAAAGAGTCCAAAGAAGCCCTCAGGTAGGAGGGACCTGGTTTATTAGAAAAAGGCATAGAGATAGCCCTCTGTCTTCCGACGAAGTCCTGCTGTTTGCTGACTGGCTTCATGATGGTGCTGCCTACTTCTCCGGGAGCAGTGGAGGCTGCTGGTTCGAGCTGGGTGGAAGCTGGTCTTGGAAGGGGAGGGGCAGCCACTGCACCGGTGCTGCTTGCGTCTCTGTGGGCCAGGGCTCCAGCTCAGAGCTGTGCTGCTCACTCACATACAACTGTCTTGCCGTACTGGAGGGTCTCTCCCAGGGACGAGTTGGCAGTCATCCTGGGTAGTGGCCTTGCTTCCCCCAGGAGTGCTTCAGGCTGGTTCTCACTGGTAAAGGGCCAGGTCTTCCATAAGGATGTCCCTGAGGATGAAGACCTCAGGTCCAAGTGCTTCCACTGGGTCTGCAGGGTGTACTGTGAAATGGCACTGTGGAAGACCTGGTCATCAGACAGTGACCCCTGAAATGATGTGTACAAGCCAGGGGTGACTGGAGGCCACTTCTAGTTCTCTGAGTGGATTGCATCCTGTCTGTTCATGGTGGGGTAGGAGCTGGTAGTGTTGGTGTGGGTGTCCTCTGAGGACCCCTTTCTTAAGTGCTGGTGTTTCTTCCTGGTCAAGACAGACATCCTCCGAGGGTTACATATGGATTCCTTGCCAATTGAGGGAAGTTCCTCCTCCAATGGGATTGGGAAGTCACAAGTCATGTCCCCAAAGTCTCCTGTAGGCCTGTGCAGGATGGTGCCCTGCGTGATGAGGTCAGCATAGCCCTCACGGTGGGAGAAGGCGTAGCTGGATCTCCGGGCCGGGATCCCTCTGCGGAGATGCATCACTGTGGGCTCCACCTCGACCTCCTCACTCGGGGCCTCCTCCTCCTCCTGGGAACACAAGAGACAGTGGAGTATCAACCCCCAACATTGCTCATTGGCCTAGGGTCACCTGCCCTCTTCCCCACAAGCAAGGGGCCACCTGGAGCTCCCTAACCCTGCTTCAGCCACCTGGAATCCCCTATGGAGTCAAATTCTGGACCAGCCTCCTACCCTAGGACTGAATACCAGGCCAGCCAATCAGATCCTTCCCTAGAGGTCAGTGAGAAGGCTCAGAGGTAAAGACATCGCAGTCAAGTCTGATGACCTAAGTTTGATCCCTGGGACCCACATGGTAGACGAGAACTAACTCCCAAAAGTCCTCTGACCTCCACACACATATCAGAACACAAGCACCCTACAAACAAACGAACAAAAACGTAAAAAGAAAGTTCTTACTGAGACTCAACACTGGGCCAGCTGACAAGAGCCTTTATTTCCAGGACCTGATTCTGGACTTTGTCTCAAAAAACAAAATTAAAGAGGCTGGAGAGATGGCTCAGTGGTTAAGAACACTGGCTGCTTCTGCAGAGGACCTGGGTCAGTTCCCAGCACCCCAGCTCACAACCATCCGTAACTGCAGTTTCAGGGGATCTGATGTCCTCTTCTGGCCTCCAAGGGCATTGTATGCATGCATACACATAAAATATAAATAAATACATTTAAATAAATTGGGGGAGGGGCACACTTTTTTGAGACAAGGTCTCACTATGTAGCCCTGGGAGTCCTGGTATTAGCTATGTGGCCCAGGCTGGCCTTGATCTCACAGAGATCTGCCTACCTCTGCCTCCTACATGCTGGGGTTAAAGATGTGCACCACAACGCCCAGCTCAAAAAATTAACCAAGTTTAGGAGCTGGAAGATGGCTCAGTGGTTAAAAGCACTGACTGCTCTTCCAGAGGACCCAGGTTCAGTTCCCAGCACCCACATGGTGCCTAACAACCTTCTGTAACTCCAGTTCCAGAGGGTCTGACGCCCTCTTCTGACCTCTGAGATCATGGCACAAGTGCATTTACATACATACAGGCAATGGACTCATACATAATAAAAATAATAGTGGCTAGCTGTAACATGTCATGAAAACACACTCAAGAGGGAATAAATGTTGGGCTGAAGAGATGGCTCAGCTGTTAAAGGCTAAGGCTAACCACCAAAACGTCAAAGAGGGAATAAATGTAAGAAGAAGAAGGAGATCTGACACCCTCTTCTGACCTCCATGGGCACTGTATGACACCCGTGTGCTCACATACATGCAGGCAACACAGTCATATATGAATTATAAAAATAATTTTAAAATATTTTAAAAGTATAAAAATAATTTTTTAAAAAAAGCCAGGTGTGGTGGCACACGCCTTTAATCCCAGCACTCAGGAGGCAGAGGCAAGCAGATCTCTGTGAGTTCAAGGCCAGCCTGGTCTACAAAGAGAGTTCCAGGCCAACGGGGGGTGCAGAGAGACCCTGTCTCAAAAAGACCAAGAATTAATTAAGCAAGTTTTAAAAAATAAAACCATTAAAATTTATCATCTCAAGAACACTTAAGGACATGGTTTCTGGCTCTGAGCACATTTGGAAGGCTCTGTGACTATCATGTCCAGAAAATTCCATCACCCCAAAGGAAGCTTGGTCCCCAGGAGAGATTGCCCATCTCCTCCCCAGCCAGCCCTTGTCACCCACCATATCACTGTCTCTGGATTCTCTTGTTCTGGACATTTCCTGTCATGGAGTCCCACTATGGCCTTTTGTGTCTGGGTCTCTCGCTGAGTTTGAGTCCTGAAAGGTGCCTCCACACTGTGGTATATGTCAGAGCTTTGTTCTTTTTCATGGTAAGTAGTTCTCTAGCACATGGCTGGACCCCATTGTGTGTCCATTTGTCCCTGGATGGACACTGGGGATTTTTCTAAGTGCTTCTAACATCTTCCTTTGCCTAAACCGTTCTGATACTGTTTCCCCACTTCCTGTGGTCTGAGTGATACAAAGTAGGAACCCATTGATGTCAAGAGTAAAAGCAAGTCACCACTCTTTCTAAAGATGCACACCCACCCGCCCTGCTGGGACATTTGGTCTCTGAGAGCACTGGGAATTTATATGTACCATTCCCAGGTAGGGGGTGGTGTAGTGTCTCGGGTAACTGGGAGGGACTAGCAGGGTCCCTAGCCCTGCCTCACCTTGGGGCGCAATTTCCAGAGAGCTCTGTAGATCATGCGTAAGCCCAGGGCAGGCACCATGTTCAAGGCCACATTCAGCAAGATCACCAGCAGGCTGGAGGGCTGGATTAGCACATTGTAGTCAGCATCTGGAGTCATGGTAGGGAGGTGGGGATGAGCACCCATTTTGTTCCCCTCCCCTCAGCACACCTCAGAGCCGACTTCCCTTCCTTGGGATAATGGGGTCCATTGATCTTTGTGACCCTCCTGCCACCCACTCAGCTGGGTCACAACTCCCCACCCCATGGAAGCTCACACAGAAATGGGAAGGTCTTCGGAGAGAGCTTGTACAGCCACAGGCTCTGGGTGAGGCTTGTCATGAACACATAAGAGCCCAGGCTGAGGATGATGCTACCCACACACAGAAGAGTCCAGTATTTGATGACCAGAATCACCTAGGAGGGAGCCAGGGGTCAGCCAGGCCAGTGGGACACAGAGTCCTGGGACCCAAGGAATCACCTGCAGGGTGCCAGAGGGTCAGCCAGGCCAGTGGGACACAGAACCCAAGGATCCAGGAAAGGGCATCCCTTAAAACAAAAGTCAGTACTGAGGGCTGACTAGAGGGCTCAGTTGGTAAAGTGCTTGCCACACAAGGCTGATGACCTGAGTTTGAATCCCCAGAACCCACACAGAACCCATGGTTGCCCGGGCTATAGCACATATGTGTAATACCAGTTCTCCAATGGCCAGATGGGAGGCAGAGACAGAAAAGTAACCAGAAACAACTCACTAGCTGGCAAGCCTGGCCACATACATAGCAGTGAATGATAAGACACTGGCTTAAGTGAAATGGAAGGCAAGGGCTGATACCCAGGGTTGTCAACACACACACACACACACACACACACACACACACACACACTTTCTTTTTTTGGTCTTTTTGAGATAGGGTCTCCTTGTGGCCCCAGCGATGCCCAGAACTCGCTATGTAGAGCACCCTGGCCTCAATCTCACAGAGATCCACCTGCCTCTACCTCCCAAATGCTGGGATTAAAGGCATGCACCATCATACCTGGCTACAAAAAAGATTTGTTGTTGTTGTTTTATTTTTAATTTATTATATGTGTATGAGTGTATTGCCTGCATGTTTGTGAGTGCACTATGTCATGCAATGCCACGGAGGTCAAAAGAGGCCATTGGATTTCCCTAGAGTCAAAGATGGTTCATAGCCGCCATGTTTTTGGTCTTTTTGAGACAGGGTTTCTCTGTAGACCCAGCTGGTCTGGAACTCGCTTTGTAGACCAGGCTAGCCTAAGCACTCTACTAACTGTGCCTCTTCTCTAGCCCTAAGTGTAGTCCTAAGCATTTTTTTTTGCCTTCCCAGTAGCTGGAATTACAGGCATATGCCACTATCCGATCCTATAACATTTATTGTTGGTTTTGGGGGTTTTTTGGTTATTGTTTTATGAGACAGGGCCTGGAACTATGTAGCCCAATATAGCTTTGAACTCAGGGTGATCCTCCTGTTTCCACCTTCTGAGTGCTGGGATGAAAAACATGCACCATTAGAGGTGGGAAAGTGAACCCAGGACTTGATGCATGCTAGGTAAACACTCTACTAACTGAGCTACATCCCCAATCTGAAACAATCTATTATTATTAACAACAAGCCAGCATTTTGGAAGATGGTAGATTCTTATCTCTTGCATTGAGGGATAATCTTTCATAATTTTTATTGGTCTTTTTGAGACAGGGTCTCCCTGTAGCCCTAGCTGGCCTGGATTTGCTATGGAGATGAGGCTGGCCTCAAACTCACAGAGATCTGCCTGCCTCTGCCTCTCGAGTGCTGGGATCAAAGGCATGCACCACCATGCCCAGCGAGTTTCTTATGTTTTTATCTTATGTGTGTTTAGCCTGCATGTAAGTGTACCACCTGAGTGCAGTACCCATGGAGGCCAGAAGAGGGCCTCAGATCCCCTGGAACTGGAGTACAGACAGTTGTTAGCCAGGAATGGCCACACCTTTGCTCCCAGCACTCAGGAGGCAGAGGCAGGCAAATCTCTGTGAGAAAGGCCAGCCTGGGCTACAGAGCGCCTGTCTAACTGGGGCTACAGGGAGACCCTGTCTCAAAAAACAAAATAAGGGCTGGAGAGCCAGCTCAGCAGTTAAGATCACTGACTGCTCTTGCAGAGGACCTGGGTTTGTTTCCCAGCACCCACAGGGCAGCTAGCAACCACCCATAACTCCAGTTCCAGGGGATCTGATGCCCTCTTCTGACCTTCAAGGTGAATGAACACACATGGTGCACTTACATACATACAGGCAAGACATTCATTCACGGGGGGCGGGGGAGAAGGTTATGGGTGGTGGTGCACACCTTTAATCCCAGTACTCAGGAGAAAGAGGCAGGTGGATCGCTATGAGAGGGAGGCCAGCCTGGTCTACCTAGGGCGTTTCAGGCTAGTTGGGGCCACAGGGAGACTTTATCTCAATAAATAAATGAACACAATAAAAAATAACTAAAAGTAATTTAAATTAAAAAGACTAAAAAGAAGTCCATGGGGGCAGTGGCCTCCCTGGTCTCTGGGGCGGTGGCTCCACCTACCTCCAAGGTGATAGACAGCAGCCCGGAAATCGCCACCAGCACCCCAAAGGACTGGTAGTCGCTGGAGCTGCCGGACACAGATAAGTTGTGGCTGAGCAGTGCAGTCATGAAGAAGTTGATGAGGGAGGTGATGACACCATGGAAGATGGCTTGTAGGAAGATGGTGTAGTTGAACAGCTCCTCCTTCTGGCCAGCGGTGTATAATTCAGGCATCCTCAGGCTCTTCTGTGCGGTCACATCCTGAGGGGGGATGTTTTAGGATGGGGGTACCTCAAAGACCCCCTCAGAGACTCAGTGTGTGCAGTGAGTACAGGTGGATTCAAACCAAAACCAGCCAGTGGAGGGAGTAGGTGAGGGGTTCAGGGCCAACCTCAGCCACTTAGAACACTTTCTGCTCCTCCAGAGAACCCAGTTCCATTCCCAGCACTCATGTGATGGCTTTGTTGCACTTTTTCATGGTGTCCATGACATACCAACAATCAAAACACTTCTACAAGTAAAAATAAATCAAGTGGTGGCACACGCTTTTAATCCCAGCACTCAGGAGGCAAAGGCAGGTGGATCTTGGTGAGTTCCAGGCCAGCCTGGTCTACATAGCCAGTTCCAGTTCCAGCTGGAGCTGCAGGGAGACCCTGTCTCAAAAAGACCCAAAAAAATCATTAAAAAAATTTTTTTTGACATATGCTCTCACTATATAGCCCTGGAAGGCCCGGAAGTGAGGGACGGCCTAGAATCTCCAGTAGGGGACTCGGGGCATGGCATGGTTGTTGTACACTCTGGATTCCTTTCCCACTTCTTCCCTTCCCCCAAAATAACAAATGTGAAATGACACTTGACAGGCAGAATGCTGGCTGACACCCTCTCACAATGAACCTCTGAGGTAGGGCTCCTGGGGAGTCAGGAGTGGGAGACGTGTGGCTGAACCTTCTCTTCCCACACCCTCTCAGCATTACACAGAATGGTGAACTGAGGTTCTTGCTCTTGGGGTGTGGAAGTCCCTTGAAGAGGAGAGGGACCCTTTTGCAGACTCCCATACAATGGAATTCTGGTGGGAGCTGGTGGCATGCCATGGGCAGGAACAGGGTGCTGGGCAACACCCCAGCTGGACCCTAGGTCTGCAGGGCAGAGAGAGCCCATCTGCACTCACCTGCTCAAACAGCCCAATGTAGAGGACAGGGAGTGTGGAGTACAGCAGATTGAAGAGTGCCAGGAACCAGCCTTCGTACAGAGGCTGCAAGGTAAGAGGGTGGAGTGACACCTTCACCAGGGGCCCAGAACTTTGCCTGGAGCCCTGTCCAGTCAGCTGGTCCGACACCCAGGAAAGGTCCCAGGGAACTGGATGTCACCTTCCCATGAATGCCAGGTGGAAATCAGTGGTAGACGTGAAGTCTGATTCTTTGGGAACCCCACCTTGAAGCCTGTTGGATTTTTGAGTTCTCAAAAGTGTAGAAATCACTACAGATGAAGGACCTTCTGGATTGTTCTAGAATTTCATCTAGTTTGATTCAGACTAGAGGGTCCCTGGTGGCTAAAGTGATGCCCAGGAAGGGCTGGCCTGACTTCTTTATTCTTTTTTTTTTTTTTTTTTGGACTGTTTTTGAGACAGGGTCTCCCTGTACCTCCAGCTGGTCTTGAACTCACTATGTAGACCAGGCTGGGTTGAATTCACAGAGATTCTCGAGTCCTGTTATGAAGGTCGGTTAGGAGCCACCTGTGGTGGTACAGGCCTGTCACCCCAGCTCTCAGGAGGCAGAGGCAGGCAGGCCCCTGTGAGATTGAAACCAGCCTGGTCTACATAGTGAGTTCTAGGCGAGTTTTGTCTCAAAAAAAAAAAAAAAAAAAACCCTACAAAAGAAGAGCTGAGGCTGAGGCCGAATTTACAAAATTCCGGCAGAGCGCACACAGCCTTTCCGCAGCACCACACAGATAAGGCACTGTGGCACTCCTCGTGGTGTCGAATGTGCTAAGCAAACATTCTACTACTGAGCTACTGCCCCTGGTTTTGTTGAGACAGGGTAGCCTAGGCTGTCTTGAACTCGTGGCAATCCTGCATCCAACACTGGAGTGCTGGGGTGACAGACCTGCACCACCATGCCTGGTTTCTTTGGGGCTCGGGATGGATTGGACCCAGGGCTTCCTGCATGTTAGGGTGAGCACTCTACCCCCTGAGCCCAGAACCCCTCATTTGTTTGAGGAAAGGTCTCACTATGTGACTCAGGCCGTCTTGAACTCCTAATCTTCCTAACTCGGCTTCCCAAGTGGTTGGATGACAGGTGTGCATCACTGATCTCCAGCCGCTTGGCTGCTCCCAGAATCCCTGAGGCCTGTGGCGCACACACGCACCTGCGCAGTGAAGCCGTTGTACAGAGAGAACCAGATCTGACCCATCATGCTGGCCACAGTCTTGTAGAAGAAATAGCGGAGGAATTTGCAGACCCGCATGTAGGACCAGCGCCCATGCACCAAGAGCAGCCGTTGCAGGTAGCAGAACTGGGCTAGCACGTAGTCACTGTTCTGAACTGCTTGCATGCCCTCCTGACCCGCCAGCCCCACGCCAATATCTGCAGCTGCAAGAGGACACAGCAGCCCATGTCAGACAACCAGCTCGGTGGCCCAAACTCCCAGCCACCCACTTTTTTTTTTTTTTTTTTTTTTTTTTTTTTTTGCTTTGTTTTTGAGACAGGGTCTCCCTGTAGCCATAGCTGGCCTGGAACTCACTATGTAGACCAGGCTGACCTTGATCTCACAGAGATCCCCCTGCCTCTGCTTCCCAATTGTCTGGACTAAAGGTGTGTGCCATCACATCTGGCTCTCCCTCCACCTGTACATGGGTTCTGGGATTGAACTTATATACCATGAGGTTTGGTGGCAAGTCCCTTAACCTACGGAGCCATTTCGCCAACCTTCCACCTTGTGGGATTTTTTTCTCTTTTAATTTTGTTTTGTTTTGTCTTTCTGAGACAGGATCTTCCCATAGCCCCAGCTGGCCTGGAACTTGCACGTAGACCAGGCTGGCCTCCATCTCATAGAGATCCGCCTGCCTCTGCCTTCCAAGTGCTGGGATTAAAGGCGTATGCCACCAGGCCTGGCTCTAGCCACCCACTCTTGATCATGTTCACATCGTTGGCTCCGTCCCCGATGGCCAGCGTCACCACCTGTTGGTACTTCTTCATCAACGCCACCACCAGGGCCTTCTGCTTGGGTGTCACCCGGCAGCAAATTACTGCCTGGCATTTTGAAGCCAGGTCTACAAAGGCCCTCTCCCGCTGCACCTCGGGGCTCTCTCGGGTCTTGGAGATAGCTGACGGTGATGGTGACATGGAAGACCTGAAGTTCCGCCACATCTGAGAGATCTGTCGGGACTGGACAGACTCTTGAGGGGCCTCATCCACCACCACATTCTGGACCAGGGCCCGGTGCTCCTTATGCAGGGACACTAGCAGTTGATCCTGGGTGTGGGGTAAGGATGAAGAGACTTGTGTCACTTGGCCTGTGTCCCTGTCTGTCCAGTGCCACCCCCTCTGGTGGGGACTCCAATCTTCTGAGTCCACCCTCTTGTTTGGATTTTAAGTTCCAGCACCCTTGCATCTGCCCCCACTACCCCAGGGTACCACCAACCCCACTGATCCTCCCCCAGCCCCTCTCCCCAGGTAACACCCACCAGAAAGTCCCCATTGATAACCAAGGCCATGTTCTGGTGGGCCAGCAGCTTGGGGGCCTTGTGCTTGTTGCTGCTCTCCCAGTAGGTCTCCAGTATAGGGCTGTGAAGAGCGGACCACAGAGGGCCTCGGGATGGATGGAGGGATGGAGCCATCGCCCCTCCCAGCAGGCCTCAGTTTCCCCCTCTGTTGGGGTATGTATAGCTGGGGAATCGCCCTGCTTACTTGATGTCTTTGTCTTCTAGAATGAGCATGCTCTCCGACAACAGCTGACAAGCAAAGCCTATGTTCACTGCTGTCTCTGCAAACCCAGGCCCACACAGGCCAGCTCAGCTCAGCACTAGCTCCGCCCTCCCGAGGGAGGCCACGCCCACCCGCAACTCCACTTCCCTCGCGGGCTGTGGCTATTCGCCTAGAGCGACTGCGCGTCACATCACGGTGGGCCAATCACAGTTGGCCCTGGGAATTGGCCCCAGGAGATGGGCAATTCCTGAGTGCGTGCAAATGGGATGGGCAGTGGTGGTACTCTAGGAGGTGGGGTGGAGGGCGGGGATCCTAAGGCCCACCAAGTTTTGAGCAACCACGAAAATGTCAAATTTATTTGAAAATCAGAAGCAAAAAATAAAGTAGCCAAATGGGGGAAAAATCAACAAAAAAAAATGAGTCCCAAAAAAGTCAAAGTGGGCATGTCTATACAGGGCTGGAGATGGGGCCCTAGGGAGTACCCCAATCCATTCACACTGAACTAGAGGCCAGGGGTGTGGGGGTGTCCCTGGGGTCCCTTTTAGGGACAGGGTATCCCCAAGGGCGTGGGGGGGACCCCACCCGACTGCGTGATAGTCACAACGAAACTGTCCTGGAGCGCGGGGGGGGGCATGGGGGGTGCGTGAGCCTCGTGACCATCTCCTGAGGTCAGCGCCCAGGTGCAGCACTCGTGCTGGGGCCACCGTGAAGCCGGGGACCCACCTGGCTTGTCCCCCGTCAGCACCCATATTTTGATGTTCCCCTTTTTAAGGCAATTGATGGTCTCGGGGACCCCTTCCTGCAGCTTGTCTTCGATGGCCGTGGCTCCCAACAGCTGGCGGGAGTGGGAGGTTCAGGCGGGAGGCCCAGATTTGAGGAGCCCAGCCTGCGGGTACACCCCCCCACCCCCCACCCCCGCATATCCGCCCACCTGCAGGTTCTGCTCCATCTTGTTGTACACCTGGTGCAGGGCCTGCGCACGATTCTGCAGCAGGAGTGCAGCCTCCTGGTGCTCTGGCTCCCACTGTTTGTAAGCGTCCTCAGCCACCTCCTTGTAGGCCAGGCATAGGGTGCGCAGGGTCTGCTCTGCGAAGGCCTGCAGCGGCCCTGGCTGTCAGCCACCTGGCAGCCTTCCTCCTCCCCCAGAGTTGCCAGCACCCTCAGGCCTCAGGACCTTTGCACAGGCCGCAGCCCCTTTGGGTCACATCCTCCCCATGCACGGTTCAAAGATTCTTTTGTGACACTTTCTAGCACAGGCTGGCCTCAGCTTTCCAGTGTGGGGGTGACACAAGTGTGTCACCATGTTCCCCCCCAACATCACATGGGGAGAGGACACTTTGCCAAGATTCCTCTGGGAATTCCATCTCAGATCCCTCTGGGCACTGAGTTCACCCTGAGGGTGTCCTGGGAGGTAGGGGTCCCCTGGAGTGAGTTCACTGATTCCTCATCAACACCCCACACTTGCCTCCCCCAGTCTCGGACCACAGTTATTGATTGGCAGATGGGGCTGTGTTGAGTATACATCCCTCACAAAGGGTCTCCAAGGTGGTGGTGAGCCTCAGGATGGCTGTAGTTCTTCGTGGGGCCTCAGTTTACCCACCTACTCCCTGAATCCCTGATCCATCTGACTGAGGCCCTGGGCTCTGGGTCTTAAGTCTGAGGGACCTGGCTCCCTTACCCTCCCCACAGCAGACCATGACATCCTGAGGTCACTCAGCAAAACCCTTGGACACACAGCTGATTCCCAACTCTGCAGGCCAGACCAGAGGAGAGGGACCTGGGGCAAAGATGGCTCTGTGTTAGGGAAAGGGTCCTGGAGGTGGGAGTGCTATAGTTGAGACTGGAGAACTAAAGAAGCAGTAAGAGCCATTCTTGAGGGACAGGGTGAGTACAGGGGCAGAGACCAGGCTACATCCGTGCAAAGGAAATTCAGAAGGGTCAGGAGCCTAGAAGAGACAGAGCCTAGACAGAGTAGAAGGCATCCAAGGTCAAGACCCAACCCACCCACAGAGTATCCTCCTGTGAATCAGAGACACCCTTTCCGTCTGTGTATGGGTGGGAAATGGGATAAGGGAAAATGTTTTGTGCAGACTGTACATGGCTGCCTTTGTCTACATACACACACTGGCCTCCCCCAGCAGGGGACTCACAGCCAAGACTTCCTCTGTGGTAGCCTCCATGGCCCCCTTCTTGTGAAGACGCTCCAGGATGACCGTGTCAGCCCCTTTTGTGTAGAGACGGATGGAACCCTCTGGGTTTCGGACTGTGGGTGATGGGAGGAGACCACTCTGATGTCCTTCCAGAGCCCCTCAGCCTGGGGAGGAGGGCAATGGGAGAGGGGCCTGGGGGCTCACCCAGCACCGACATTCGCTTTCGGACACTATTGAAATCCATCATGGCCAAAACCTGGTAGACGCGTTCCTCCCCAAGCTCCACCAGCGTGATGGTGTCCTGGGTCCGAGACAGGAACACATAGCCGAAGTTCCGGGCAGCGGTGACCAGTGCCTCCTCATCTGGGGAGGCGGCCTGGTACTGCAGCTGATCTGATGGAAAGAGGGAGGGGACAGGGGTTCAGCAGGGCTGTCCATCTCCTCCCTGTACCTTATCTTAGGGGTCACAAGCAGAACTTAGCTCCACCTCCAGAGATGGTCCCTGGGGCCCCATGGAGATCTGGACACAGGCTGAGCAGCCTCAGGCTGGGTGGCAGGTGTAGGGCACAGTGGGAGGGACGGCTGCTCACTTACTGTCTTTCTCCTGAACCATCACAGTGTGACAAATGGCCAACACACGCCAAAACTCCTGCACTGAGATGTCCTGCTGGCCCCTGACAATGAACTCCAGCTCCCTGTTGTAGAAGTGGAGCTTGCCGTCTGCATACTGGTTCCAGGTGTAAGGGTTCCGCTAGGAGGCCATGGGAAGAAGAAAGTCAGGTTGCCCCGGTCAGACTCTGGCCCATCTTGGCCCTGCCCATCCTGGTCCAGCTAGGTAGGGCCCATGAGGCTCACCTTCCTGAGGGTCCCATGTTCATCATCTGAATCTGGGGAAAGAGCCTGATTCAGGATGGGGCTGCCATACTTGGTGGATCCTACCTGTCTCCCCCTCTCCCTTGCAGGGGACACCCAATGCTACCAGGCCTTCGATACCCTGGCCCACAGTCTGTGGTTCCAGTTTTGGTGGGTTAGGTCAACCATGGCCAGGATCCTCAGACAAGCCAGAGCCACAGTGTCGGGAGTTCAGGCATTCTTTCACAGGCACCACCCTGGACACCCCACTAGGAAGCTGCTGTGGGTGCTCACCATAGATGTAACCGTTGATACAACACTTTTTGAAGGTCATGATGTTCTGGGTCAGGGTACCTGTTTTGTCAGAGAAGATATACTGAACCTGACCCAGTTGGTCATTGAGGCTGGTGCTTCGGGCCTTGGCTGGCATGTCCTGGGGCTCATGGTACATCTGTAGGTCCCAGTTGATGAAAAAGCTGTTGCCCAGGTAGATGAATTCGGCTCTGTGAATGGTCAGGTCCTGACTTCAAATCCAACCCATCCCACCTCTCTCCTTGGGAAGTGGGGGGTGTCCCTGCCACCCTGCACCCCACCCCACAACCGCCCAGCCAAGGGGCTTACATAATGAACATGGCCATGGGGACCATGACACTAAGGAGGATGAGGAAGCCCCAGAAGATGAGGAAGGATTCCATGGCCTCAGAGCGCTGAGGCAGCATCGACATGTAGTAGTGTTTGACCTTGAACTCCTTCTTCATGAAGTTGAAGCCCAGCATCAGAACCAGAGACACCACCACCAGGGACATGAAGACCTGCAAGAGGAGGAAGACTGGGGGAGGTGCAGGACCCCAGCAAATGCTGGGTAAAAGAGACAGGAGCTGGGCAGGTGGGGCATGCCATTCATCCCAGCACTCTGATGTAGAGGCAGGCGCATCTCTGAGTTAAGGCCAGCCTGGTGTGCATAGTGAGACCCTGTCTCAAAAGCAAAACAAAACAAAAAACAAAAAGTATCTGGAGAGCTGGCTGTTCTTGCAGAGGACCCAGGTTCAGTTCCCAGCACTCACATGGCAGCTCACAACCATCTATAACTCGAGTTCCAGGGGCTGGGATGCCCTCTTCTGGCCTCTGTGGGCATTGCGCAACACAGGTGCACTCACACATGCAGGCACTCACACACAAAATAAAAATAAATCAAAAAACATTTTAAGGGAGGGGGAGAGAGAAAGGGCCTTTCCCAGGGTCCTTGCCTGGCTTTTGGGGCTCTCTGTCTGTCTTTAGCTTTGAATAATGTTTTATGTGTTTTATTTAAAGACAGGGCTTCACACTATAACCTCAGAGTCCTAATCCTTCTGCATCAGGCTACCATAAAAAGTTCATATAGCCAGGCATGGTGGCGCACACCTTTAATCCCAGCACTCAGGAGGCAGAGGCAGGCAGATCTCTGTGAGTTCAAGGCCAGCCTGGTCTACATAGTGAGTTCCAGGACAGCTGAGGTACAGAGAGACCCTGTCTCAAAAAGACCAAAAAAAAAAGTTCATACAATAGAAGCCAGGTGTAAGATTGTTGTTCTAGGACTAAGGGGATGGAGGCAGGAGGATCAGGAGTTCAAAGCTATCCTGGGCTACAAAGCAATAAAAAACAAGGAGGAAGAGTAGGGGAGAAGTGAGCCAGAGCCTCCGGAGAGGCCACCGCTGCACGTCTCAGTTTCCCAAGGGCTCTCCTGGGCTGCTCACCAGGATCACCAGCTTGTTCATGAGCAGGTCAAGCTTGGTCCTCTTCAGATGGATCTTTCCACAGTTCTTCATGATCTTTGTGTCAAAACCTGCAGCATGAATGTCCAACTGTCACCCATCCACCATCCAACCATCCATCCATTTACCCATTCATTCATCTACCTATTCTATCTATCTATCAGTCCATCCATCCATTCTCCCACCCATCCACCTATCTACCCATTCATCATCCATCCATCTACCCATCATCCTTCCCTCTATACAGCAGCACCCTGTTTTCTCAATCAAAACCAGGGTACTGACAAGCAGCCCATTTTGACAGATCCTGGGGCCCAGAAATTCAGTCCATAGGAGCCTTCAGCATACCCTGGCCTGGCTCCTCCTCACAGATCTCAACTCTCTGCCCCAGGTCCCTATCCTAGCCGCTGCAGTCCTGGAGCCCAGCAGTATACCAGCATAGATAACCAGGCCATAGCAAGTGTCTGTATTTCGGATCTTGCAGCCCCGCAGGAGGAGGTTTCCAATATCCAGTGGGTATTTCCTATTGTTCCACTCCAGGCTCCCCACAAAGTGATGCATCCGGCTGTTGGGTTCCTCACAGATCACCATACCTGTGGGGACACAATGAACAGTGGCTATGGTGTGGCTCAGCACAGGTCCTGGGCCAGTAGCTCCCTGCCACCTCTCCTTGACTAGGGTAGGGACATTCCTCTCACATTCCAGCTCTGGTGTCAGCCAAAGTGGCCCAGTTTCCCTTGGGTCCCCAAAACACCATTATCCAGGCTCCCTTTGAATGCTCCAAAGTGTACCTTCCACTCATGCAGCCAGACCGCACACCTCCCTCCTCAGCCTCCTCCCTTGTGGTGGACTCTTGAATGTTGCTGGAATGTTCCTGCCTGTTATAAGTGCTTGAGGAGGGAATGAGAAACATCCAGGATGGAATGCACCTCCTGTCACCTCTCTGAACCTTGGTCTCCTCCTCTTAAAAAAAAAAAAAAAAATGGGGAAGGCAGGCATGGTGGAACATGCCTTTAATTCCCACACTTCAGGAACACAGGCAGGCAGGTCTCTGAGTTCAAGGCCAGTCTGGTCTAAATAGTGAGTTCTAGGACAGCTGGGGCTACAGGGAGACCCTGTCTTAAAAAGACCAAAAAATAAAATTAAATTAAATTAAAATAAAATAAATAAAATAAAAAATAAAATAAAATAAAATAATAAAATATAAATAAATGGGGTTACTCCTGCTGGACTGCCATAGGCTGACAGCCTACAGCAGCCTCTGTGTTGAGCATCCTGGGGTCTCTGGGTCCCAGAGAAAATGCTGGACTGACAGTCAGCCTCTTTTCTCTGAGCCTATCTCCTGATGAGTCAAATGTGACCATTCATTGAGTTCTGGGCTCTCCAGACAGCTGAGGGGCGATGGAGAGGCACCTTCCACATGAACCAACACCTTCCCCAGATTGCTTTATTCTTTTATTTTGTTGATTTCTTTTTTTTTTTTTTTTTTTTTTTTTTTTTTTTGGTCTTTTTGAGACAGGGTCTCTCTGTAGCCCCAGCTGTCCTGGAACTCACTATGTAGACCAGGCTGGCCTTGAACTCACAGAGATCCGCCTGCCTCTGCTGCCCAAGTGCTGGGATTAAAGGCGTGCGCCACCACGCCTGGCCTATTTTGTTGATTTTTTTAAAAAAAATTTTAGGGGCTGGAGAGATGGCTCTGAGGTTAAGAGCACTGACTGCTCTTACAGAGGACCTGGGTTCGATTCCCAGCACCCACATGGCGGCTACGAACCGTCCTTAACTCCAGTTCCAGGGGAATCCGAAGCCCTCTTCTGACCTCCGCAGCATTGCACGACACGGGTGCACTCACATACATGCAGGCAATACACTCATACACATAAAATAATTAAAAAAATAATAAATTAAAAAAAGTTTTTTTAGGGGCCGGGCATGGTGGCACACATCTTTAATCCCAGAACTTGGGAGGCAGAGGCAGGTGGATCTCTGTGAGTTCAAGGCCAGCCTGGTCTACATAGTGAGTTCCAGAATAGCTAGAGCTACAGGGAGACCCTGTCTCAAAAAAAAGATTTTTAAAAATATTTGTCTGTGTGTGTATATGTACCACATGTATGCAGTGCCCTCAGAGGCCAGAAGAGGGCGTCAGATGCCCTGGAAATGGAGTTACAGTTGTTAGTTGCCATGTGGGTGCTGGGAACCAAACCAAGGTCCTCTGAGCATCTCTCCAGGCCTTATTCTTTTTTCTTTTTTTGGGAGGGGTGATCTTTTTGGTCTTTTTGAGACAGAGTCTTCCACAGGTAGCCTGGAACTCACTATGAAGACCAGGTTGCCCTCCTTGATCTCACACAGAGACCTGCCTCTCTCTGCCTCCTGAGTGCTAGGATTATCATAGATTTCAAGGACAGATTGTAGAAATTAGGGCTTTGGGTGTCAGGAGCCAGCAGGCTGTGGTGTGGTAGATTCTGTACAGCACCACTGAAGGTGCAATAAGTCAGGAAAAAAGAAAACTCTCAAGTTGCTTTGGCAATATGACAGGAAAATAAAACTGGATCTACTTGCAACAGTAACCATATGGGTATGTGATGTTGTTAGGGGGCGCTAAACTTCAGATGCATAGCATGTAGGGGATAGGAAACAATTTAGGGAAAACTGGTTGTGGTGAGCTGGCGCTGGACACCACCCATAGCCCACCACACATCCTGGTCCAGCAAGGGAGCCCCTTGCTTCCCTCCCCTCCTCACCCTTGAAGGATGCCATCTTCCTTGCACTGGTAAGTTCATGGTGGGTGACTGTCAAGGCCCGTCTGAACTTCAGGTTGGTCTCCCTGGTCCCCAGAAGAGGGGCAGGAAGTCATGAAAATGTGCCCCACAAGGGATAGCATCCTGGGGTGGAGAGCCAGGCTTCTTCCAGTCCCCAGAGCAGTTTCACTGAGCACCCACTGTGTACTAGCTGTCAATCAGGATGAAGCTAGAGAGGGAGAGTGCCTCTTCTGAGGTCACACAGCACATCTGCCAAAGGGACAAAAACTGGGGCCTGGCATACACACACTGGCACCTTGAGGGCAGGTCACCTCCAGACCTGAAACCAAGTCCCCCAGGGACACACTGGCTTCTCACCCATCGATGTCTGCAGTCTCCACATAGCACAGGCTGCTGGGCTCCGTGCTGGCCAACAACAGCAAGTCTGCCTGGGGGAGGTGTGGGGAGGGGTCAGAACGGAGGTGAGGGACAGAAGATGGCGGAGGGAACCAACTTACTCCCATGCCAACTTACCGGGACAATGCTGTCTTTGCTGAGACACACAACGTCTCCCACACACAAATGTTTCCATTTCTTCCACAGAAAGCTATGGAGGGGGTAGGAAGAGCAGTGGCTGACTCCCCTACATGGCCAGTCCCCCACAAACACTGAACTGGAGTCTCCTGGAGCTAGAGCTCCCACCTCTGGAAACTTTGGTCCTGCTGTGCCATCCGGGAAGCTCAGCTGTGTGGCCACCTTCCCCAGGAAGCCTTCCTGGACCTCTTCTGGGGGTCACCCCCATCCCTGTCACTGTCCTTTCTAGCACTTCCTGGACGGCCATCCCTCTTAGCTGAATGCATTCCACAACAGCCCATCTTCAGGTCCCAGCCTCTTCATCCCTGTCCCAGAGCTGACCCCCAGCATGGTAGACAGCAGGTGCCTAATAAATGCAGGCCTGGGTTCTGATCAGACTCAACCAGAATGTACTTAGAGTGGAATGTGCTGGTCACTCCATCCACAGCTGCTGCCCCCAATTGGGTTAGGGTCTCCCTGTCCCCAGTGCCCCCTTTGGTGACCCCTGCCTCACCTCTTCCCTCTCAGGATCTGGCAGGGCCTGTTGTTTATGGCCTTATCACTCCAGTGGCGTCCCTGTGTCAACAGAACAGGCATCGGAGAGGTGGCCCTGTCCCCTGGTCCCCTACTTGGTCCCACAGTGCCATCACGTGTGCCCATACTGCAACAAACAGGACCCACAAATGGGGCCAAGCCAGTGAGGCCGACAGGGCAACAGGACATCCATGCACAATGTTCACCCTCTGCTGCCTGCGCCTGGTCTGGGGAGCACCCCACCTACCATCTCCCCACCATCACTATCCAGGCCCCACTCACAATATCGTCCACCAGGTCCCGGGTGGCTCGGATCACAAGCAGGCAGACCAATGGGGCAAAGAGCGTGAACCAGGGGAGTGTGGAGATCTCAGGGATACCCTGTGTGGAGATAAGGGGTCATGATGCCCCTCCTCCCCATGCATGTGCCTCCCCAGCCCTCCACTCTCTCCCCACTCTGGGGAGCCACCCAGACCACCCTGTCCCTCCCCAGACTCTCATTGCCCCCAGTCTTCTGCAGGCAAAAGTGAAGGCGAGTTTTCTGGTTTCTCTGCACATAGTAGGTGCTCAATCTAGGTTTCAGGGCTGGATGGATAAAAGGTGCTTGGTCGAGGTGCTCCTTAGACAGAGCTGTGTGCCAGGCAGGTGGGCAGGGCTAAGGCAGTCTTGTGGCCAAAGTTCTGCAATCCAGGAAGGAGCTATGTACTCCCAATCTTGCAGCAAGCATTTACTGAGCACCTACTGAATGCAAGGCCTTAGGCCAGCATTTGCTGAGTGTCTGCTGAATGCAAGGTCTTCATCCAGCATTTACTGAAATACAAGGCTTCCGAAAGTCAGCACTGGCTGAATGCCTGCTGTATTTGCTGAGCACCTGCTGAATGCAAGGCCTTTGGGCAGTGTTTGCTGAATAGAAGCTCTTCCTCCTCCACTTGCCCTCTGCATTCAGCATATATGGAGACCCTCATGCATGCACAAGGCAGAGGTAAGTTCACAGAAGGGAGGCAAGAGGAACACTGGCAACCCATCACACAGAGGAGCACACGGATTGCTCATCCCAAATGTCCTTGGAGAAGCCTCCTGGGTTCTCTGCAGGGCTCCCCCGAGGTGGTGGTTTCTGGGTGACACCCAGGACCCATGCCCTGCCCTACCTGCAGAATGATGATGAGGAGGAAATAGAGGTTGGACACGCGGTGAAACTGTTCATACAGGTTCAGCGGTAGGAAGGAGAAGATGTTGTACTTGGCTGTGTGGATGGCGTTGTTCTAGAACAAGAGCCACCAGGGGTCAGTGTGGGTGCCCTGTACCAGCCCTGCCCACTGCACCTGCCTGCTGCCCCCACACACCCCAGCAAAGCACAGCTGAGCCAGTTTTGAGTTCCTGCTGGATGCCAGGCCTCTTGGCATCAATGAACGTCTAATAAATGCAAGGCATCAAGTCAATATTTATTGAGCGCCTGCTGAGGGTAAGGCCTTAGGCCAGCATTGACAGAGTGCCAGCTGAATGTAAGGCCTCCGGCAGGTAGTCATTGAGGGTCTACTTAGTGCCGGGTCCTGGAGCTGAGTGAAACACAGCAGGGGATCGTGGGTAGGCCTGGTGAGTGCACTGAACTGGCAGGTTGTAGATTAGCTCAAGGGCAAGAGGCCAAGCCAGGCACTTGTTAGGAATGGGCAGCACTGTCCTCACAGTTAAAATAAAAATGAGAAGTCTTGGCATCCCAGCACTCCAGAGGCCCACAGAAAGATGCAGAGGACAGCCTGGGCTACAGAGTGAGTTCAAGGCCAGTCTGAGCAACCTATTGTATCTAAATAAAAAGTAAAATAAATGCTGGGGCATGGCTCAGTGATAGAGCCCCTGACTCGAATTCCCCAGTGAGGGGCTGGGGGCGTGACTCAGGGGTACAGCCCCTGCTTGGCATGCAAGATGGTATAGCCCTGGGTTCCATTCCTACTCCTGAAAAAAATAAACCAGACCAGAAACACACCTTTAACCCCAGCAGTTGGTAAGCAGAGGCAGGTAGATATCTGAGTTTGAGGCCAGCCTGGTCTATGTACCAAGTTCCAGCTGGGGCTACATAGTGAGAACTTATGGTGGGGCAGAGACAGCACCCATGCCCTGGGGGAGCAGCTGTTTTGCAGGGGGGGGGCTTGCTCTGGGCTGCCTGCCCACCTTGTATTTCTGTCTCCTCCAGCATAGGAAGCCTTTGTCTTTGAACTGCCTGTGGTAAGCTCGGTCGTTGGCCTTCACCTCCCAGGTGAACTCTGCAGGGCAAGCAAGTGGGACACTGGGTACCACTGGAGCCCAGCTAGGGACAACCACCCTGACAACTGAGAACTAATGGGCCCCGAGGGGCCCCGGGCACAGGGGATGCCCAGTTCGGGCTGTGAACGTGTAAACAGTCACAGTCAGAACTAGACCACGGAGCCCCTGGGTATCCCATGGAGTCCCTATGGTGTGTTGCAGAGAGTAAAGGGCCCCCACAAGTGGAGTACAAGAATGGTCTCTCTTCACTCCCCACCAAACCACCTCCACTCTGAGAACAGGGTCGTGAGAGGCCCACAATCATCAAACTTGTGGGGCTAGGTAAACTGAGGCCTGGCCACCAGAGGCCACTCACTCTACCTTGGCAGCCTCAAATTGGCCAGCAATGAAGGCTGGCAGTCACTCCTGTCACCCCACTTCTCTGTCCTCCCCTTCCCCTGTCAGGGACCCGAGACCACACCTGTGTCTTTATCTTGTAGCTCGTCCCCAAAGTTAACTGTGCTCATGTTGGTCAGGCTGTGGGGTTGGGAAGAGAGACGCCAAAGTCAAAATGGCTTCATGTCCAGGGTTGGATGGTATGTCACTTTTACTGCCAAAGAGCTTAAAGCTGTCTAAAATAGCACCTCACGGGCTGCAGAGACAGCTCAGTGGTTAAGAGTACTGGTTGCTGTTGCTGAGGACCTGGGTTCGATTCCTAACACTCACAATGGCAGCCAACAACAATCTGAAACTCCAGTTCCAGGGGCTCTAACACCCTCTTCTGGTCTCCACAGGCAATGCATGCATGTGGTACACTTACATACATGTAGGCAAAACATTCATATACATAAATTAAAATTAATATAATATAAAATATCACCTCCCCAGCTGGACTGGCCATTCCAGCCCTCAGGCAGGGCTGAGGCAGGAAGATCACTTAGTGTTCCAGACCCGCCTGGGTGGCACAGTGAGATCTTGTCTCAAAACAACAAAAAAAGATAGGTCTGGGGGCTGGAGAGAGATGCTTAGTGGTTAGGAGCACTGGCTGCTCCTGCAGAGGACCCAGGTTCAGTTCCCAGCACCAACATGTCAGCTAACAACTATCAGGAACTCCAGGCTCTTCTGGACATGAGTACACTCATATACATGCAGGCAAAACACTCATGCACACATGAAAAAATCAAATCCAATAAATAAATAATAAATAAATAAATAAATAGATAAATAAATGGGTCTAGTCTCAGGATCCCACCACACACAGCCACCTCTCACAACAGATGCCAAACTTTCTGAAAAATCAAAGTCTCATTAAATTGCCCAGGTTTGCCTTGAACTCATGATCCTCCTGCCTCAGCCTCCCAGGGTATTTGGGATGAGGTCTTGTTAATCATCTGGCTGGGTCTTGGAATTTGAGCCTAGTGTTGCACCCAGGGAGCCTATACGAACTGTACCTGATTAACCAGCTCCCCTGCCCTAGCAGCACCCTGACCCTCAGCATTCCAGCAACCCCTCCCCTCACAGTTTGCCCAGATGTTCCCCTTCAAAGCACACTCCCTGCTCCTCACCCTTCAGATCTGACTCTGTACTTCCCAGACCGACCAGTGGGGATCTTGCGTCTCCTGGGGGCTCCCTGAGTAGCTGGGGTGTCCCCCATCCCGGCTCAGGTCACCTCTCCCTCTCTTCTTTTTCTTGTGTTGGTGTCTGCTGAATCCAGAATCTCCTTCAGGGACAGAGATGGTTGGTATCTCAGTCATGTGTGTCCCCCAGGCATGCTGGGGCAGGGCTTCCTGGCTGTGTCCTCTGGAGACTAAATCTGGTCAATACCCATTTATCATATGAGAAAAACTGAGGCTGGGGTATGAATGGGTGGGGAGGGATGAAATGAGGAAATCCAGAGGTGCAGGGGAAGAAAGGGGGACTGGGATTAGAGGGAACATTCTAGTCAGAATTTTCCAAAGTGTTTCTGGAGGCAGGAACACCTACCCTCTCACCATCAGATACCCCACTAGCAAAGTGTCCCTCAGCATCCAAGATGCTCAAGTTGGGGGAACTCAGACCCAGTGGTCACCAGGATGTCCTGCTCTCTCCTGCCCCCACTGCTGCCACCCAAGCCAGCAGGCCAGCAGAGTCCAGAAAGGGGACAGCTGCACTGCAGGATGCACAGAATCAGGAGCCCCGTTAGTCACTCACCTGAGAAGGCCGGGCTGGGTGGGGCCGGGCTGCTTAGGACCAGCCGCCAGCGGCGTCCAGGACGGTGGATTGTGTGGAGCTGTTAGCTCCGCGCTTACCGGTCTGAAATGGGCGGTGGGGGTGCGGGGGCGGGGCCTGGAGAGGGGCTGGGCCAACACAGGAGGCGGGTCCTATCAGAGCCTTGCCGAGAGGGATAGGGGGAGGGGCTTCGGGGAGGGGCCGGACGCAGAATGAGGCGCCCAAGGGCTCAGAAAGAGGAGGGGCCTGGAGTAGCAGAGGAGGCCAGGATCGCGTCAGGCCTAGAGGGCGGGGCCAGGACCTGTAGGCGGGGCCAGGCCCTGCGAAAGGTCCAAGGCTCAGTGGGTGGAGCCAGGACTTGTGGAGCCAGGAGGTTCTTTTTGAGGAAAACCCAGGTCCTTTTGGAATATGGAAATATAGGCGTGACCAGGCCTTGCGGGAGGACCCAGACCTTGTGGGCTGGGCCATGTTTTGTGGGCGTGGCCAGGCCTTGTAGGCGGGGTCGGGTTTTGTCCAGGCCTTATGTTTTGACAGCTAGGCCTTGTGTTGCAACTAGCCTTACGGAGGGGCTAGGTCATGTACAGGTAGAAGCTGGGGCAGAACTAAGCATTGGTGAGAGGTCAGGTAAGAGCTGGGGTTTGGGAACCTGGGCTTGAGGAAGTTGGGGCCAAGGTAAGACCTAAGAGTGCATAAGGATGAATCTAGGATCCAGGGAGGAGGCTGCAGGAGGATGGGATGCAGGGCTGGCTGGTGGGCGTGGCTGCGGTACTAGAGCAGAGCAGGTGGGGGTGTCAGTGGGCTTCCGGGTAGATCAGGACAGGGTGGGGCTTAGGCAGGTTAAATGGGTGGGGCTTTGTTCTGCAGGGCAGGATTCAGGGTTTTCATCATCTTGAGGCATTTTCTGATAAAGCAAAGTCTCATTGTAGCACAGGCTGCCTCAAACTTGCTACGCAGCAAAGGGCAGAGGCTGACCTTGAACTCCTGATCCTCCTGCCTCCACCTTCCCAGAGCTGGCCTGGGCCAGCACGCCTAGTTTTCGTAGTGCCAGGGATGGAACCTGGGGCCTTGGGTGAGCACTCTACCACTGAGCTACATCCCCAACCCTGGGTTGGGATTTTTCAACATGCCAAATAGGGTCTGTTCCAGTCAAGAAGAACCTTGTAGACTGAACGTGGCTTAAGTCGAGATGCCCCAGTGAAGATGACCTGAAGTAAGAAGATTGGCACAGGTTAATAGCACAGGTGTAAGCATGTCTGAACTGAATACCTGGGCTCTTTGACTCATTGTCATTTCCTGTGCATATGCGCCCCACTAGGCAGGGAGTGGGTAAGTAGCTGACAGCCACATTGAGGATCCTCCTAGTGAGGAAGCCCGTGGGGCTGTGTTCAATGTGTACATTGCCCAGGGGCTGGGACCAAGGTCTTCCCTGAAGATGCTGAGTGGGGCTCCTCAAGTTGGGATTCCCATCAGCCACCCTTTATCCTCCCACATCCAGCCATTGGGTCCTTCGCTGTAGCCCAGCAGCCCTCACTCAACAGACTAGGGTGCCTGTGTCCCAATTTATTTGCCAACATCTGCTGAGGGCCACCTATAGGCAATGAATGATGGAGAAAGCACTACTTCATTCATTCACTATCAATACAACAAACATCTGTCCTGGTGGGGGGAGGAGCCTATCTGAACAAAGCAGGGAGTCCCACCCCTCCTGACTTACATGGGGTAATCACTGTGGGGACAAGGGCTCCTCAAGTAGAAACAGACATGCAAAGGACTTTAGGATTCCAGGGCAACATGGGGTTTAGCTAGCAGAAAGGTCCTTGAAGCTTAAAGAGCTGGGTTCCTGAGCCATGCAAACCTCTAAGGCACCTAGAAGCATTCTGGGAAGAGGGAGACCTCATGCCAAAGCACCTGACACAGGGCTTGTGAACACATCATCACCGTCTATTTGAAAAAAAAAACAACAAAAAACAAACGTGTTTAGAGAAGGGAGGGAGGACAGTCAAATTGGCCAGACAACCCCTGAGGGTAGACAGCCCAGCTTAGTCAAGGATCCCCCTCTGTGGGCTGTGAGGTGTCCCTTGTGGGTGCCCCCAGGGGCTCTGCAGATTCTAGACACAGACCTTAAAGGAAAGCCATCCACTTGAGTGCAACTGCAGCCTAGACAGGTGTCAGGGCGCCGCCTGCAGACAGGCTTGCTCCCCAGCAGTCACCTTCTGGAGCATTCTGACTGGTTTCCCCACATCCTGATCCACAAGGCTCCCAGTGCCCAGCTTTCTGATTTCAGTTAAGGCTGGGCCTAATGGCTCTCTGGCCTCCTCCCTGGCCCATGCCAGACTGTTAAAGAGGAGGCGAATCCAGCTATGACCACATGGCATGTGAGTGAGGCGAGACTGACCAGGACTCCGCCAGTTCAGGAACAGAGTGGCTATGGTGGCCAGGTCATTTCTTAGGACCCCAGCAGACAGACACTCCTGGTCTCCATCCCTGGATGCTCTGAGATGCAGGTCTCATGAGCAAAGAGACAGGAAGGTGGCCCTCAGGGGCAAGGCTGCATACCCAGGCCACCCAAGGCTCTGCGTTGTCCCATAACTGGTCGCCACAGCAGAGTGGTGCGGACCCAGCAGGTCACGGGGTCAGGGACCCCACGGGGGTACGCCGAGGTCCTGCCTGGTCCCAAGAGCACCATACACCATGAAATCTAAATACAAATATTTATTCGGTCCCTACCCACAGAGGAGGCAGCGCCCAGGATGACAGCCCAGGAAGGACAGGCATGGAGCCTGGCCTGGCCTGACTCTGGGGAGTCAAAGAGTCCAGGTAGACTGGGGATGAATTCTGGAAACCACCACCCAAAGGCAGGGGACATCCGGGCCCACTGGGAGCTGGATGTGGGGTCTGAGCCCTGGCTTGAGTCTACTCTGTTCCCCGTGGGTGCTCAGGAAGGGACAACACAGGGCCGGAGGTCCTGGGGTGAGGTAAAGGAATAACTGTGCAGGGCAACAGGACTAAATTAAAAATTAATAAAAATAATATAAAATAAAAAAAGACAACCCGTCTCAAAGAGAGCACAAAGGTTTGCCCTGCCCCTGGGTTCTGTACAAAGGAACGGAGAGGCAGTGGGCTCTGCTGCCCAGCTGCAGCACAGGCCGGGTCAGGGCATTGAGTGGGACGGGTGTAGAGCTGGGCTCAGCTGCTCTCAGCCCCACTCTGAGTCCTCAGGTCCTCAGACCCTGCAGCCCATGCTAGAGAGGCACACCGTCAGCTCGTACATTTATTGTACAGTTTGAAAAGAGACCTGGGTCTGAGGGTGGCCAGGGCTGTGGGTGGCCAGAGCTGCAGGAGAGGCGGTGGTGGTGGTGATGGGATGGGTGGGGCATCATCGCTTGCTCCTGGAGTCTTCTCGGATCTTCCAGGTGACAAGGTGCATGCAGGCGCTGGCATCCTCGCTGGAGCTGTGCCCGTCCACTGCAGGGCAGACTCAAGTCAGTGGGGTCAATGGTGCCCCTACCACCCATCCACCTGGCCCAGAGGGTGACAACTCACCGTTGTCTTGGATGATCTGTCTGAGGTAGTCAGCCATGAGGTTCCGCAGGGAGCGCTTGTAGGGCAGGCCCAGGCGGTGCGGAAACAGCACCGAAGTATCCACCACAGTGCTGTGGATGACCTGCGGGCAGGAGGTAGTCAGGGCCAGGCCAGCAGGGTCTCTCCATCCCCAGCATGGTGATCACTGCTACCTTGAGGGCCAGCAAGTCGCTCTCCAGGCTGTGTCCAATGAGGATGGTATCTGCACTGAACATGCTAAGCAGCACGGCCTGGACATCTCGCAGCGTGATGCTGGTGTCCACGAGGTCGGCCTCTGTCACCCCTGAGAACCTGCAGAGGGCTGGCGTGAGGGCTTCAGGCTAGGTGGGGAGTGGGGCAAGGTCAGGTCCCGTGGGGATGGGTGGGGACGCACCGGGTGTTGTAGTCTACCACCTCATTGTCGGGCTTGACAAACGTGTCGTACACAACCTGCATGTCTGTGTCCACCACTGTGACGCGGGTCAGCTCCAGGCCGTACGTGGTGTAGGACTGTGGGTGTGCAATGGGTTCAGATGTGGCCAGCCACTCCTGCAGAGCCCTGGGGACATGGGGTCCCCACCAGACAGAGACAGTAGGGGCCTCGGTGCAGGCTGGGAACTCAGAGAACCCACCTGGGCAAGCTGAGACACCCCCCCCCAGCACACCTGGCCTGTCACAGGAAATGCAGCCCATGTGGGTGCAGAGATGGTCTAGTGGAGCAGACGTGACTCATGTGACTGTCCTGTGCCACAGCCAGCACCTTGCCTACCAGCTCTGGGCTGCTCAGCTCCCCAAGCTCCTGGAGACCCAGGTTTCTGAGACCTTAGACTTACCATCTCACAGTCAAGAGCGAAGACCCCGGCATGGGCATTGTCTGGAATCTCCTTCTCGAAGGTTCGCACAAAGCCCTCCAGGTTTTCCTTGCGACCGTCCTGCACATGTTGCTGGGAGATGGGAGGGATCAATGGGAGCTACCACAGCCAGGCCTGCAGGTCCAGGGGACCTCCACATTTACTCAGGACATACTCTGGGACCAGTCCTGTGGTGCTAAGCACCACGCTGTATGGTAAGCTTAGCCCTGGGTAGGGCTCAGGACCAAGTGCCCCTTGCTGGGATCCCAGGGCAGGGCTGCGGTGTCCACTGTGTTCCCAACCCAGTACAGGGGGACAGGGCCTAAAGCTAAGAGCGGGGAGGGCACACAGCAGGGACTTACCTTGGCCACCTGACATCCCACAGCACCGACAGCAGCAGAGCAGCACATGTACTGTGTCTCCCAGCCCCCGGCCACTACAGAGAGATGGTGCTCAGCATCCAACACCCACTCAGCAGGGGGCCAGGATTTTGGGACGGGAACTGGGCCAGCAAGACCTCAGGCTTGCAGCTGGGTCACCGCCATCAGGCTGGCGCAGGCTGGGGAGGGTCCCCACCCACTGGGACATTGCAGGAATGTGACCTGGGGAAGCCAGGCTCTGGCAGGAACATCTAGATTACCAGGATCTCTCAGGACAAGTAGAGGGGTTGGGGAAGCTTTGCTCAGGTCAAGGCTAATGGCCTATGGCCTTCCCAGAGGAGAGACTGGCTGGGGTGGCTCGGTAGGCGCAGGACAGTGCTTGTGCCTAGGCAAAGGGCTCACCTCTATTCCGCCGGAGCCGCCCCCAGTGGTAGTAACACTCCTCGTTGCGCACACAGCGGCCAGAGGAGGAAACGAGGTACTCGGTGCCACAGCGACAGCAAATTCTGCAGGAGGCTGTGTGCGAAGAACATGGTCAGAAAGGTAGGATACATGAAGGCCGGCATTGGGCAACGTAAGGTGCCTAGGCTGGAGGGAGGGGACTCACGGTCCTTGGGCTTCTTCTCCTCGGCTGTGAAGATGATGGCGCCCCCTGGGCGTTCGGGGTGGGGGAAGGGGTACCCATTCTCCTTGAGCTGGTCCTGGGTAAGCAGGTACTCTCTGAGCCGGCTGTACAGGGCGGTGCCTGCAGGGGGCAGGGAGGGATTATTTGCTGACTGTCACCTGCTGTGATACAGCTAGGGGTGCACAGCAGGAGGGGAGGAGTTGCTGTTTGGGAAGCAGGCCTTCCTTGCCGTGTGAATCATGGGGCTGCGTGGGGGCACCCACTTACCTTTCAGATCTTCCACTCGGGGGCTGCTGGGGCGGCTTAGTGAGAAACTGGTCTTGGCAGCCAACTTGCCCCCCAACACAACCTGGTGGGACACAACCCTGCGGCCACTGGTCTCTGCAGGGAAGGCAAGAGGAAGGCAGGGAAGGGTCACCTCAACACGGCCCCCAACACCATGCACTGCTTCTGGGGTCCTGGCCAGAGGAGGCATGGTTATGTATGCTACATGGGATTTAGGCCCTCAAGGCAGTCACCCCAGAACTGAGCAGCCCCCCACCCAAGCTCAGGGCAGACAGGTACAGTCTGCCATCCATGAAGAAGGTGTATGAGGCAGAGGGGTTTCCATGGCTACTTGAGCAAGTGACTAATGGGTTTGGAGGCTTTGAGCTGTCAGGGACCTGTGAAGGCCATCCTGGCCCCTTCTGAGGGTGGGGGGAAGCTAATGGAGGCAGGGGGCTGCAGAGGCAGGCAAGATAGCCAGGGTGACTACTTAATGTGACCTCTCGAGGTAATGAAACATCTTAACCTGCTCTTCCTCCCTCTCCCGGCTTAATGGGCAGAGCCTGGCCTCCCACTTTGAAGAGGCTGCGTGGCTCCATTAGCGGAGTCTGCTCATCTGGGAGGCAGTGAAGGCGGGAAGGTGGATGGTAAAGAGGGGCCATTCCTGGGACACACGGAGCATCAGAAGCGAGAGGCTATATTCAGAGAGATGGAGATGATCCCCTCAACCCCACACCTGGGCAAGACCCTCCCCATGCAGCCACCTGGACTCACTGCTGAGGGTGGGCACCGTGTTGGGGACCAGACCCCGGAGCTTTTTGAGAGTGTTCACAGCCACGTTCAAGTAGATGTTTTTGCTAGGGCTGCGGTCATACGCCACCTTTTCCTCATTCAGTGCCTGGACAGGACATGATACTTAGCCCTGAGGCCAAACTGACCCTGGCACCCACAAGTGAATGCCATGTGGTCCCAGGGGAGCTGAGAGGAACTGACTTGGGATGACAGAGGCCAGGTGGTGGAGCCAGGTGAGCCTGACATGGACCCGTTCCTGCGGTAGACACAGGAAGAGCCTGCCCCCGCCCCGCCCCCCAAGAAACTGTACAGACGGCAGGGTTAGTCTGAGATGCCCAGCTGAGAAGCAGGGGGACAAATGGAGACCTCAGCTGCAAACAGTGGTCACAGGGGTCAGGGACTCCCAATCTCACCCCAAGGGAACATACATTTCAGGGCCTACCTTCTCAATGGCCTCCTGGTTGGATGAACAGAACTTAAGGCACTCCTCGATGAACAAGTTGAGATAGCGCTGGCGGATCACAGTGGGGACCTTGCCCCCAAACTCTTTTGGAATAATGGGTTTCTTTAGACTCTGGAGGGAAAAGAGCCAGCCAGGATAAGTCATGCGCCACAAAGCCTCTGAGAGCGACAGGATTGAGCAGTCCACAAATGAGTGCAGCCATGGATCCCAGAAGGAAGGGCTGGGTGCAGATCTGAGTAGAGTGACAGCCTACAACCCCAGTGAGAAGCTGGGAGCATCCTCCAGGGGTAGAACGATAAACTAGAAGACCCCAGTAGGGTAGAGCGCCTCCCTAGAATGAGGGGTTGGGAGTATGGCTCAGGAGTAGAGTGACAGCCTAGAATCCTCCAGTGAGGGGCTGTGACTGTGGCTCAGGGGTAGAGTGACAGCCTAGAATCCCCCAGTGAGGGGCTGTGGGCGTGGCTCAGGGGTACAGTGACAACCTAGAAACCCCCAGTGAGGGGCTGGGGGTGTGGCTGTGTGCAAAGGACAGCCCATAGTTCCTTGGGGCACTGTCAGTAGCCTGGGGAGGCCAGGGCTCAGGGTACCTGGAGTGATGGGCTGTGAGCAATGCGCTTCAGGGTGACAGTGGTGGTGGTCTTGGATGCCATGCCTGACAGCGTGCGTGTCTTCAGCAGCTGGCTGCTGGGCTCAGGGCCGTTGGGTGCCTGGCTGCTGCTGGCCAGAAGCGCCTTCTTGGCACCTGACTGGGCTGGTAGGGAACAGGGAATGTGAGCACAGGAGGACAGCAGGCCCATGACGGAGCTGCAGAGCACTAGGAAGCTGCGGTCATTGAGCGTGAGCAGGATGTGCATCTTGCAGCACAGTGGGAGCCGGTGTACTGGGCTAGGGCTGTGGAAGGACATGAGCCTCTAGAGGCTCTGGGGTAAATCCATGGAGGTGGGGAGGGCAGTGTGGGCAGCACAGCTGTGGAGGCCGGCCCAAGCAATGCCACAGTCGGGGTGATCTGGAGAATGGCAGGGCGTGGGAGGGGCCTCTGTCGCATGTTCCAGCCCCCGACTCCGAGGTATTGACGTCAGAGAGGTTAGCCCCGGCTTCCTGGGTGCAAGACCAGAGGGCCTGGGGATGTCCAGCTGCTCATTGTGACAGGCTGCCTGCCTATGGCCCCGATGAAGTCACAAACCACAGTCTCTGCCCTGAGGGGGGCCATACAGGGGCGTGGGGGCCTGCCCAACAGAGTCCAGGGACACCCAGGAGGAGCAGTGTTGCGCAGGGGACATCTGTCTCTAGTCAGGGTCGCTAGCTAGAGACAGGGCTAGGCCGCTCTGCCATCCATCCTGGAAGTGACCTGGAGGTTGCACTTGTCAAGGGGGGAGCTTCCCCAGCTGCCCTCAGCCTCCCAGTAAGGAGACCAAGGTGGGCATTTGGGGGTGTGCCCAGAGAACAGGCGTGCCCCATGGATGGGCAGGAACTGTCTAAAGACCCTGCAGTCCTGAGGAGAGCAGGCAGATCGTCCACTCTCCCTAAGTGGGTCCTGAGCAGGAAGACCCCCGCCAGTCATGGCTAGTGAGAGGTTATCTGCTAGGGCAGCAGTGCTCTCCCTAGGGGCCCTGTCCACTCCTGATCTTAATAGTTATGGGCCTATTCTAGGAAAGCCCAAGCCAGATCTCACCCCAGGCCTCCAGGCCAGGCCACCACCATTCACCAGGACCATCTTCATCCCTGGACTGGCCAGTCCCCCACTGCACCTTGGCCTCCAGCATCCCCAGAGCCTGTGTCTGAGAGGAGGTGAGGAGGCTGACCAGGCTTTCTGGCCCTTCCCGTCCCCATTCCACAGATAGACACACTAAGGCCAGGTGAGTACACAAGGTCAAGGGCTTCAAGGATGTGCTTGAGTTCTGTCCTTGTACCCCAGGAGCTCTTTTTCCCCACACACCAGGGCAAGAACCAATTGGGGCCAGGACCTACCGGTGGCCAGGAGGGGGTTGGGTACATGAGCAATCCTCCTCTTCTCTCCAGGGGCCGAGATGTGTATGGAAGAGGGTTTCTCAGGCAGCCGTGGTGCAGCCTGCAGCCAGCTGGCTGAGTCCCGCTGTGCCTGCTGTGCCCGCCGGTAGCATACCTCCTGAGCCGTCGGGGGCCGGGTTGGGGGCGCCTCAGGGGCCCTCCTCAGGGCCTCTGCCTGAAAGCATACACACCCTGGGTCCCAGTTGTGAGTCTGAGGCAGTCATGGCAGGCTAGGCTGGGATGCTGCACTAGCAGATGTGGCAGGCCCCCAGGGCTGGGAGAACTATTGCACTCAAGCCTCCCACAGCATCTGAAAGCCTGGAGCTTCTGCTGCCCCAGGGTGCATAGTCCAGGGGTGGTTAGGGGCATACTCCCTACCCTCAGGCTCTCCTGGGGCCCAATGGTCTGCTGGACCAGGGGGTAGGGTGGGAATCCCAGCCCTCCACCCAAGGCTGTAATGACTCCTGGATCCTTGTACATGCCTAACCTTGTGGTCTCACCCCATTGCCCCGTGTTCCCTGCCCTAGGTCTCCCCAGGAGCCTCACTGACTTCTAGCTACAACTGAGGCTGCCTGGGCAAAGAGGCCCAGCAAGGGGGGGCAGTCTGTTCCGCTCACAATACCCTCTGTATACACCTTGAGCCTCACTGCTCTGTGCCCAGGGCCGGGGACAATGGGAAGACAGGACATGGGTGGGGCACTCCTGTCCCTTCTGAACAGGCAGGCTGGATACGAGTTTGCCAAAGGATGACAGCACAAGGTACATGGGAGATGGCTGGTTGGGACCCTCCCTCCTGCCATCCTCATACCCCGCCAAATCTGGGTCTTACCTCCCTGCCCGGCTTGCACAGGTGGGAGACCCTCCTCTTCTGCCCCGGGAACAGAGTGGTCAGGCCCACGTGCTCTTTCTCCTCCTCCTTGGGGGGCTGAAACACACACCTGCACCTCACTATGGGCAGCTCCCAACTCTCCACCTGGCCTCATGTCACCCCCAGACATTGGCCAGTGCTAAGCAGGTGAAAGCCCTACAAGGATCAGCACCCTGAGGCCCAGCCTAACATCTGCCCCCTGAGGCCAGGGTAGCCGTTTTGTGGGCATGCCCCCTAAGTGTGCATGGCCTGCCACTGCTGCCCCACACCCCACCCTGGGCGGCAGTTTGGAGGTCAAGGCCAGTCAGAGGAACCAGCCCAGTTCACTTTTGTTCAGGTCGAGCTCCCTCTGGTGGCCAATGTGGAGACAGAGGATAGTGGGGCACCCTGGTGGGTCAAGGCCAGCCTGAGCCAAGCCAGTCAGGGAAAAAGGGAGGGGAGAAGAGGAAAGAAGGGGCAGAGGCCAGAAAAGCAAGGTGTTGGAGGAGGGACAGAAGGAGAGGAGGGACAAGGAGCTGGGGACAGAGGCGCGGCAGGTGCAGGGCAGGAGGGCCCGGTACCCCTTTGCTGGTCAGTCTGAACAGTCAGTCCGATGCTGCCGCGGGGAGCCGGCTGGATGGACGCAAAGCCAGCGTCCTCGCTCTGGGCAGGGTACAGGGGGCAGCGGATGGCCACTGAGGGTTCCTGAATTTTGAATGGAGTTAAGAGGCCAATGCTGAAGGGGTGCAGAGTTGGCTGGAAATGGCTGCAGGACAGGGTGTCCCCTTCACAAGGCCCCAGTGCTCTCACCTGCCGGGCCAGCCGGCCTTTGTCCTCTGTCTTCACACTGGTGGCCTCATGGAAGATACGTAGACACTCCTCCATGGGGTCTGTGTCAAACTCCACCTCCTTCTCCAGGGCTGAGTAGTCCACATCGGCGGCATCATCGCTGGAAGAGGATGGGGAGGACGAGGAGGGTGGAGCGGGGGGCATGGCCTTGAGGTGCTTGGGAACCTGAGCCTTACCCAGGCCCAGGCTGGAGTCTGAGTCTGATTCGGAGTCTGAGCTGAGGCTGGGCAAGGTTGGGGGCCAGACACGGGGTGCCCCAGCCCCCAGGCCAGAGTCCTCCTCTTCACTCTCATCCCCAAAGAGGTCAGCATGGCTCAGGGCCCGTTTCTTCAGCTTTGGGGCATCCTGGGGGGCAGCCTCATCCAGGGAGCGGGTCTTGCGCTCCACCAGCTTCCCTGACAGTGCCTTCCCGCCACCCTTCCGAGCCAGTGGCATGTGGGGGCTGGACCCAGAGTCCTGGGGCCGGGGGCCCCCACTGGAGGGGCAGCTAGGCCCCCCTTTCCCTGAGCTGGCCACTGCAGTGGCTGAAGATGGCTTTTTCTTGGTCCCCTCAGACCGATGGGCCTTGCCCCGGGCACTGGTGGCCTGTGGGGTCTTCCTATCCCTGCAGACCTTCTCAGGGGGCCGACCTCGCTCCTTCCTCCGATCCTTCTTGTGGGAGTTGCCCTTGTGGTCAAGGTCAGCTGCAGTCCCACTTTTCTTCTTCTTAGTTTTGCTCTCCTTAGGGATCCCGGGATCCTGAGAGGCCCTGGCTAGGGAACCTGGCTTGACCGGGGACACCTGGCCTGGCACCTTGGGGGCCTGTCCCAGGTCTTCCACATCGCACTGCACAGCCATCTCCTTGGTCCCCCGTGGACCACTCTCCCCGGGCTCCAGGCCCTCCTTGGAGGGAAGTTTTGCAGGGGTCTTGGTTTTGGGGCCCGCCCCAGCCTTGGGGGTACTGCTGGGGGTCTTGGGGATACTGGCATCAGTTTTGGGGGAGCTGGCCACCTCATCTTCTGAGTCTGAGAACCTGGCTTCACAGCCTCCGAAGGGGTCACAAGGCTTCTTGAGGGCGGGTGTGTAGGGCTCACTGCCCCGGGAGCCCCGGGGCCGCTTGGTGGCCCGCTCATCCCTGGAGCTGGCCCTGCCAAGGTGGCGAGCTGAGTAGTTGGACAGTGGGTCATATTCCAAGTCTGTGGATGGCTTCGAGTTATCCACTACATACTTGCTGCTGGGCATGGAGCGGCCATAGCGGCGTGGTTGTCCCACGGCCTTGGGGACATACTCAAGAGCACCTCCACCACTTCCTGCTCTGGCTGGACCCCTCTCCAAAGGGGCCAGTGAGTACTTACTGCCTGGCTCTGCGGGTGTGGCCAGTGGGGTAGGCTGGTAACTGGTGTCTGGGTTCAGCAGGCCATGACTGGCTGGTGTATGGCTGAAGACCAGTGGGAAGGTGTCATCATCATCATCCAGGCCCGTGGTGGGGCTGTGGGGTGCCAGGGCCGAGGCCCCGGCTCCGTGCTCCCGCGTAGTCTCCAGCAGCTCCTGGTAGCGCCTCTGCTCCAGCTCCACCTCACTGCGCACTGCCTCAATGGCTTGGTTGACCAGCTCCAGTTCCAGCATGCCATCTGTCTGGCCCAGCGTGCCATTCTCCCTCTGCATTGGCGGCTGGGGCAGCTCAGGGTTGTATGGATCATAGCCAAGCCCTGGAAGGGTAGAGTACAGACAGCCAGTGAGTAGGGTGAAGGCAGGGAACCCACCTTCCAAAGTCGGGTGTGGTGTTGATGCCTTTAATCCCAGCACTCATGAAGCAGAAGGTGGGTCTAGGGAGTTCCAGGCCAGCTGGGGCTATAGGGAGACCCTGTCTTAACACTCTTTCAAAATAAACAAATAAGAGAGGAAAGAGGATGGAGAGAGAGGGGGAGGCACTGAGGTTGGATAAAGCCAGCCTGAATCTGACTTCCCATCCTTGTCCCCAGAGCCTGTGGACAGGTCCCTTCTAGTGGCAGAATGGACCCCCACAAAGGGGCTCATGCTGAGGACTCTGAGCTGAGGATCATTCTGGAACTATCTAGGGTCCAGGGTCACCATGGGGTCTTTAGGGGAGGGAGCAGGGTGAGAAGCAGAGAAGACTGGGACGCACTACTGCTGGCTGTGAAGAGGGAGGATGGGGCCACAAGTGGAAGGATGCAGGGCCTCCAAACACTGGGTTGGGCTTGGATGAGCAGGACAGGGATGCTGTCCAGAGCATAAGAGATAAGGTGCCACACCTAGATTTAGGCGGCTGCCCTTCAGTTCTATGAACTGGCTGTTTCTTGTTCTTTTTGAGACAGGGTCCCCCTGTAGTCCTGGCTGGCCTGGAACTCACTATGTAGACCAAGCTGGCTTCCATCTCATAGAGATCTGCCTGCCTCTGCCTCCCGAGTGCTGGGATTAAAGATGTGCTCCACCACACCTGACTTGGAAGGGCTGTTTTAAGCCACTCATATTGTGATAACTTACAGCATCCATTGGGAGCTAATGCCCTAAAAATATTAGTTTTTGCATGTAAAAGAGTCCCCACTGGAGCTAGAAAGCTGATTCAGCAGTTCAGAGCACTGGCTGCTCTTGCAAAAGACCCAGGTTCGAGTCCCAGCACCCACACAGCAGCTAACAACCATCCATAACTCCAGTTCCAGGGGAATTCAGTGCTCTCTTCTGACCTCCACAGGCATTGCACAACACAGGTGCACTTACATCCATGCAGGCAACACACACAAAAATAAAAACATAGTCACCACATCTAAAGTTGAGGCAGGGAAAAGAGTTCTCACCTAGAACTTAATGGAGAAAGTTCACAGGGAGTTTTCTGATGCCCAGAGCAGGGACAGTTAGGAGCTCAGGGTGAGCCTAACAGTTGACACAGGAGACCCAGCCCACTCACTCACCATGACTGGTAGGCAGCATTAGCAAGTAATGAGAAAAGGGATGGGTTCTGACTTTTGATTTTCTTTCTTTGGCAGGATTTCACTATGCAGCCCAGATTGGTCTCTCGCTATGTAGCCAAGGATGACCCTGAACTTCTGATCATCCTGCCACTACCTCCCCAGTGGTGAGATGACCATGTGAGATGCCAGGCTGGCTGGGTTTGGACTTTTGAAATCAGTTTTGCAATAATTAAAAGCAGCTACTCAAAGCCAGGCCTGGTAATATACGCCTTTAATCCCAGCATTGGGGAGGCTGAGGCAGGCAGATCTCTCTGAGTTTGAGACCCTGTCTCAAAAGAATAAAAAAATAAATAAAAATAAAAAGGGCAGGGGGAACAGCTAGCTACTTGGAAGTCTGAGGCAGGAAGATTGTAAGTTCAAGGCCAGCCTGGGTAACTTAGCAAGATGCTGTCTCAAAATGAAAAGTTAGGAGGGCTAGGGGCATGGCTCAGGGGTACAGTGACCACCTCAAATCCCCCAGTGAGGGGCTGGGGGTATGGCTCAGGTAGAGTAACAGCCTCAAATCCCCCAGTGAGGGGCTGAGGGTATGGCTCAGGTAGAGTAACAGCCTCAAATCCCCCAGTGAGGGGCTGAGGGTGTGGCTCAGTAGCTGGGCACTTGCCTGGGTCTCAAAGTCCCTAGGGAAAGGAGATGAGGGAGGAAGTGTGGAAGCAACTAAAAAAAAAAAAGGCATTCAACCAGAGCTAAAAAGAACATTAAACCCAAGGCCACTAGCCTGCCTACACGTCACACCCCTGTGTGTGAACCCAGAAAGGGTGGTGGGAAGACACCAGATTAAGCCTAGTACATTCTGTCTGGCTTTGGGGGATTTTTTTTTTTTTCGTATTTATTGGGGTGGGGGTATGGCAGTCAAAGGACAATTTGTTCTCTCCTTCCACCATGTGGGTCCTGGATATTGAACTTAGGTCTTCAGGACTGGCTGAAAGCTCCTTTACCTACTGGGCCCTCTCACCAGCCCTTTTGTTTCTTTTTTGAGACAGAGTCTCACTGTAGCTCAGGTTGCCTGAGAACTCATGGTGGTCCTCCTGCCTCATCCTCCTGAGTGCTGGGGTGACAGGTGGGAACCACAGCTAGCAGGTTTATACAGGTTTGAACACAGCTGCCAGGGACTTGGCTCTGGCCACCTGCAATTCAGATGTGGACACAAGGGGCCCTGGAAGTGGTGATCTGAGGCTGACAGGCTCATAGCTGAGGTACTCACTGATGCCACTCTCCCTGGGTCCCCTGCCCCATCCTCCTTCCAAGGCAGGGTCCTCTGGGGACCCTGTCAAGGTTCAAAAAGCTCCCTGAGTTCCAGGCACATGAGGGGCACATGAAGGAGAGGATCCTGGCACAAGAGGTGAGGGGACCCTGGCACAGGTAGTATGTCAACTTGACAGACTCTAGAGTCACCTTGGGGACCAGCCTCTGGGACTGTCTGTAAGGGAACTTCTATATTAGGTTAACAGAGATGGGAAGACCCAAGCTGAACGTGGGCAGGAGCATCCCATGCATGAGCTGGGGTCACAGACTGAATAAAATATAAAAAGGGAGGAGCTACAGAGTGGTTAAGAGTACTCAGAGTACTCACTGGCTGTTCTTGTAGAGGACCCAGGTTTGGTTCCCAGCACCCACATGATGGCTAACAACCGTAACCCCAGTTCCAGTAGATCCGACACCCTCTTCAGGCCTCCACAGGCATTTTACACACATGGTGTCCTTACATACATGTAGGCAAAACACTCACACACACAAAATCTTTAAAAAAGGAAAAAAGGGGCTGGGTGTGGTGGCACACAGCTTTAATTCCATAACTGGGGAAGGCAGAGGCAAGTGGATCTCTGAAGGGTCCAGGCCAGCCTGGGCTGCATAGTGAGTTCCACGCCAGCCAGGGCACCACAATGAGACATTGTCTCAAAAAAAAGAGAAAGGGAGGGGCTGGAGAGATGCCTCAGCAGTTAAGAGCACGCTCTGCTTTTGTGAACCCGGGTTTGATTCCCAGCACCCACATGGCAACTACAAACCGTCCTTAACTCCAGTTCCAGGGGAATCTGAAGCCCTCTTCTGACCTCCACAGCAATGCATGACAGGGGTGCACTCACATACATGCAGGCAATGC